TATTTTTGGAAGATTCTTTTTTCCCTCCAAACATTTGATAATGAAAAATTTCCAACATACACATGTAGGTTGGAAGAGAGACCCAGCAGCCTCCCTCCTCTCTGCCTCTAGATAGTGAGTCATATTCTGTCATGTTTGCTTCATCACTTTATCATTTTGGGGTCTTTTTTGGATGTCTCAGAGTACATTTCAGATAATGATATTTCTACCTTTTATCTTCCCCTTCTTTCTTCTTCTTTTTGGCTGTGCTGGGCAGCTTGTGGAGTCTTAGTTCCCTAGCCAGGGCTTGAACCTGGGCCCTCAGCAGTGAAAGAGTAGTCTTAACCAGTGGATCGCCAGGAAATTCTCATCCACCCTTTATCGTCTAAGAAAAAGAAATACTACATAAAAGAGATAACGAACAAGGACTCACTGCATAGCCCAGGGAACTATACTCAATGTTTTGTTAAACCTATAAGGAAAAGAATCTGAAGACGATTCTGAGTCACTGTGCTATACACCTGAAACAGACACATTGTAAATCAGTTATAGGACTTCCCCGGTGGTCCAGCGGTTAAGAATCCGCCTGCCAGAGAGAAAGGTTCGCTCCTTTTGGTCTGGCGGCAGCCATCAGGGTGAGACGAAATAGGTGCGGACAAGTACATCCAAGAGCTATGGAGGAAGAAGCAGTCAGACGTGATGCGCTTCCTACCCGCGGTGCGCTGCTGGCCTTACCGCCCGCTCTTCCGCGCTGCACCGAGCCCCCCACACCGCCCCACCCCCACCCCCCGGCCCGAGGAGGCGCGCAGGCTGGGGTACAAGGCCAAGCAAAGTTCTGTCATATGTCGGGTTCGTGTGTGCCACGGTGGCCGCAAACGCCCAGTTCCTAAGGGTGCCACTTTCGGCAAGCCTGTCCACCATAGTGTCAACCCGCTCAAGTTTGTTCGAAGCCTTCAGTCGGTTTCGGAGGGGTGCACTGGACGCCACTGTGGGGCCCTGGGGGTCCCGAATTCCTACTGGGTTGGTGAAGATTCTACATACCAATTCTTTGAGGTTACTGATCCATTCCATAAAGCTATCAGAAGAAACCCTGACCCCTAGTGGATCACTAAACCAGTCCACAAGCACGGGGAGATGCACGGGCTGCCGTCTGCAGGCAGAAAGAGCCGCGGGTGAGGCAAGGGCTATCGGTGGCTCTCGCTGCGCAGCTTGGAGAAGGCGCAGTGCTCTCCAACTCCACCGCTACCGCTAATAGAAGTAATGCTTGTCAAATTCTTACCTAATAAACAATTTAGGACGTTCTTGTCTGCTTAAAAGTGTTTTTTAATATGTCTGTTAAAACTAATTGTCTGCAGATTGCTTCATTGAATGCATTGTCAAATTAGGAAAGTTAGGGACTTCCGTGGTGGTCCAGTGGTTAAGACCCTGTGTTTTTTCTTTCTTTCTTTTTTCATTTATTTTTATTAGTTGAAAGCTAATTACTTTACAATATTGTAGTGGTTTTTGCCATACATTGACATGAATCAGCCATGGATTTACATATGTTCCCCCTCCCGATCCCCCCTCCGGCCTCCCTCCCCATCCCATCCCTCTGGGTCTTCCCAGTGCACCAGCCCTGAGCACTTGTCTCATGCATCCAACCTGGGCTGGTGATCTGTTTCACCCTTGATAGTATACTTGTTTCAATGCTATTCTCTCAGAACATCCCACCTTCACCTTCTCCCACAGAGTCCAAAAGTCTGTTCTGTACATCTGTGTCTCTTTTTCTGTTTTGCATATAGGGTTATCGTTACCATCTTTTAAAATTCCATATATATGCATTAGTGTACTGTATTGGTCTTTATCTTTCTGGCTTACTTCACTCTGTATAACAGACTCCAGTTTCATCCATCTTATTAGAACTGATTCAAATGAATTCTTTTTAATGGCTGAGTAATATTCCATTGTGTATATGTACCACAGCTTCCTTATCCATTCGTCTGCTGATGGGCATCTAGGTTGCTTCCATGTCCTGGCAATTATAAAGTGCTGCAATGAACGTTGGGGTGCACGTGTCTCTTTCAGATCTAGTTTCTTCGGTGTGTATGCCCAGGAGTGGGATTGCTGAGACCCTGTGCTTTCAATGCAGGCGGCACACGTTTGATCCCTGGTTGGTCTGGAACTAAGATCCCACATGCCACAACTCAGACCTGGCACAACCAAAGAAAAACAATTATGGACGTTAAAGTACAGTGATGCTTGAAGACTTTAAGTGATGGTGTATCATGTTTCTAATAAGGGGAATGCCTTTGTTTTTGCTTTTTTAGGGAGTTGATATGTTCACGTTTAAAATGCTGTTTGGGCAATAGGTGAAAAGTTATATAAAAGAGGAGTGCAGAAATTTAACCCTGTAGATTTGTTGATGCATGTGATGAGACCTGCAGCTTTATCGGAGTGATGCAGTTCTCTGCAGTTCTCTGGAGTTTGGCAGCGACAACGTTTTAGTTGGATTTTCCTTGGAAATGTGAAGGGTGTCCTGATCCTTTCTTAAGATCATATGCAGAAAAATAAAGTTGACTAGGGTCCATGTTTTAGGCCTAATCTGATACTACATTTATGTAACTGCTGCTTTTGAAAGGCGAAAAGTAATGCCACCATTTTTAAGAGAATTGAATAGACCTGTTGCAAGAGGGTTCTCACAAATGAATCAAATCCTGATTTACCAAAACTAAATTGCCTTGGCCTCCATGGTACCACTGAAGTTCACATAAAGCTCCTGGTTCAGACTCTGGTATCTGTAGAATACTGAACTTCATGCAAAATGGGTGTATTGACACTGGTGTCAATTAAAACTAATGGAAATTCAACATTAGATAAGTGAGGGGGAGTTATTGGCCCTGAGGTTTGTAAATTTAGTAGGATTGGGAGGTTGATGTTCATTAGATCCCTTTCAAGTGTAGGACGATAGGAAAAACTTATCAAAAAATTAAATGTTTTATTTGTAGTATTAGTTTGTGACCATCATGAACCACCTTAGGGGATGCAGGAAATAGGGGTGGTTATGTTTAAAAGTATCATTGCTAAGTGTAATCAGTGTTCTCTAGGGTCAAGTCACTCCATTCTTAAAAGGCTACTGAGAGGAACTTCCCTTGGGGGTCCAGCAGCTAAGACTCTGTGCTCCCAATGTAGTGGGCCCAGGTTCGATCCCTGGTCAGGGAACTAGTTGCCACATGCTGCAATGAAGATCAAAGATCCTGCATGCTGCAGCTAAGACCTGGCAAGCTAAATAAACAAACAAATAATAAGTATCTTTTTTTAAAAAAGGCTACTGAGAAAAGTCATGTAGTTGGTGTCACTACAAATTCAACTGGCTTCTGACTTTGTGCTGTCTACAGTTGTTCCCATCCTTGCTCAAACCACCCTCAAGAGCCTCACCGTTCCAGACTTGCCAGGCCAGCAGTTGTGGTTGGGCTCACCACCTCATTCTGCTTGTCGCATCGTGTCTTCCTCTAGACTAGACTTCTGTTTCCCAGGGTGTATTTGAGTGCAGGAAATATGGAACAGGAATTGCCTCAGTCCTTGGTTTGCTATCTTAATAGATAGTTTAATTTTGAAATCTAATTGCTGATTTTCTTGAACCAATTTTTCTTGTTTTTTTCTTCAAGGGTCTTTTATTTATTTATTTTTTTCCAAGGGTCTTTTAAAAGGCCCACTTAAGTGACTTCCAGAAAACAGGCTTGCAAAACCTTTTGAGACCCAAATTCCTTCCTACTCAAAAAATCTTAAATCATGTTATTCTGTGTGTAGAGGTTGTTCAACTATATAATAATAGAATAAATGTCTATTAAACTTAAAAAAAAAGAAGAAGAATCTGCCTGCCAATGCAGGGGACACAGAGTTCAATCCCTGATCTGGGAAGATTCTACCTGCTGCAGAGCAACTAAGCCCATGTGCCACAACTACTGAAGCACAGACAAAAATGAAATAAGTAAATAAATTAAAATTTTAAAATAAATAAATCAATCAACTATACTTCAATAAGATAGGGAATTCCCTGGCGGTCCAGTGGTTAGGACTCGGCGCTCTCACTGCCAAACCTGGGTTCTATCCCTGGTAGGGGAACTAAGACACTAAAAGCTGTGCAGTGAAAAATGAAATAAAATAGGATATTTTTAAAGATGTTTTATTTAAGGAATACTTTGTGGTTGTTCAGTCTCTAAGTCATATCCCACTCTTTCCCACCCCATGGACTGTAGCATGCCAGGCTCCTCTGTCCTCCACTGTCTCCCAGAGTTTGGTCAAATTCACATCCATTGAACCAGTGATGCTACCTAACCATCTCATCCTTTGCCGCCCCCTTCTAGTTTTGCCTTCAGTCTTGCCCAGCATCAGGGTCTTTCCCATTGAGTCAGCTCTTCACATCAGGTAGCCAAAGTATTGGAGCTTCACCTTCAGCATCAGTCCTTCCAATGAATATGCAAGGTTGATTTTCTTCTTAAGATTGATTGGTTTGATCTCCTTGATGTCCAAAGGACTCTCAAGAGTCTTTTCGAGGACCACAATTCAAAAACATCAGTTCTTCGGCGCTCAACTTTCTTCATGCTCCAATTCTCACATCCATACATGACCACTGGAAAAACCATAGCTTTGACTCTCTATGGATCTTCACTGGCAAAGTGATGTCTCTGCAGATTAATATACTGTCTAGGTTTGTCATAGCTTTCTTTCCAAGGAGCAAGCGTCTTTTAATTTCATGGCTACATGAATACTACATAATCACAATTTATTCATCACACCTAAGATCATGAGCAGTAATTCCATGACATCTAGCCCAGGACCCAAATGGCCCTAGTTTTCCTCAGACTGTCTTATCTGGCTGGCCTTTTGGGAACTGGGATAGCGTGAAGATGCCTGCATTACCCTGGGGTCTGCATTCCCCGGGCGGGGCGGAGGGGGCCCCCTCCCATGATGGCCCTGCCTGGCCCAGGGACTTCTAGGTCCTTCCCCTACCCGACCTCTCTCTCCCTCCCCTCTCTCCCCAGGAGCCCAGGATGTGCGAGTTCAGGTCGCCGCTGAGGTGCGGGGCAACCTAGGGGACACGGTAGAGCTGCCCTGCCACCTGCTGCCTTCAGCGCCTGAAATCCGAGTGTCCCAGGTGACGTGGCTGCGCCTGGACGCTCCCGAAGGAGAACAGAACGTGGCCATCTTCCACCCCCAGTATGGTCGCAGCTTCCCCAGCCCGAAGCCCGGCAAGGAGCGGCTGTCCTTCGTCAATACCGCGCCGAGCGCGGGGGCCGGGCAAGGCACGGAGCTGGAGGTGCGGGACGCCACGCTGTCCCTCCGGGGGCTGACGGTGGAGGACGAGGGCAACTACACTTGCGAGTTTGCCACCTTCCCCAAGGGCACCAGCCGGGGAGTCACCTGGCTCAGAGTCATAGGTGAGCCGGGTTGAGGGGGGCGGGGGGCGCTGCGGCGAAGTGAGAGGGGAAGCGGTGCAACGCGCGAGCGCCCCCCACGGGCCTGCTTCTGGGCTTTAGCTGGGAAATCGACCTACCTTTGCGGTCATCAGTCAGCCTGCCTGCTTTATTAAACACCTGCTATTTGCCACGGGTAGTTCTGCAGGGAGGAGATACAGCCGGCAAGAAGCATCCAGTAGATTGAGTCCCTACTCTGTGCCAAACACTATGCCATGCTATAGGGATGAAGCCCTAAGGAGAACAGAAGTCCCCCTTCTCCTGGAGCTTAGACTCCAATTAAGGGAGTAGATAACGTAAATAAGAGTGAGCTGGAGGGTTGCAGGCGCTTTAGAAATTGGAGAAGAATAGGTTACCATTTTAGTGAGGGTGGTCTGGTGCTATTTGAACCCAAACTAGGAGGGTTTGAGGGAGTCCTGCAGGTCCACGGAGGAGAGTTTCAGGCAGCAGGAACAGCAAGTTCAAAGGCCCTGGGGCAGGGCACGCCTGGAAGGTCTGAGGAAAAGCCAGGAAGTCAGTATGGCTGGAGACGAGTGAATGGGGCGGGGGGGCAGGGAGAGGCAAGGTCAAGGCAGTGATGGGGGAACACAGATCACAGATGACCCTCATGGACCATGAGGAGATGTTGGCTTTTGCCTTGAGAGAGCAACAGCTACAGGAGATTCTGAGTAGGGGAGGAAGGTGTTGACTTGGGTTTTCACAGGCTATGTGGGGAGTGAGGATGGAGGCTCACAAAGGCGGTGAGGGCATAAGTCCAGGAGACAGGTGATGGCAGTTAGACCATAGGGGAGGCAGTGGAGGCAGTGACATAAGGCAGTAATTGTCTTACAGAAATATTTTAGAGGTCAAGCCAGAGAATAATCAAAATAGCAAACGAAAGGAGCTCCAGGATGTTGTAATACTCAGAGTAAGGCCCCAATGGACTCACGTGGAGAGAATGGTCATTGAAAGCTTCTTAGTCAAGTGCTGACGTGTAAGCAGGAGCCACCCTCGGGGAGAAGAATGAAGGCCCAGCAGAGGGACCAGTCTAGGCAAAGTCTGGGATAAGAGCAACAGACTTGCACATTCTAGGAACAGACAGGAGGCTAGTGGCAAGGGCTTGAGTGAGCCTCAACTAGGCAAGGAACCAACAGGGTCAGGTTACATGAACCTCATAGACAAGAGGCCAGGTGGCTGGAATTCATCTGATTTTCTTTGTTTTCCCCCCATGCTGAGCAGCTTGGAGAATCTCAGTTCCCCAACCAGGGATTGAACCCGCACCCTTGGCGTGAAAGCATGGAGTCCTAACCACGGGTGGACCACCAGGGAATTCCCTTCATCTGATATGTTATTTGGAGCCATAAGAGGGTTTCAAATCATAAGAACACTCTGACCAGGGTCTTGAAATTCTTTAAAAAGGGGGGGGGGGGGGTGGGTCACTGGCAGTACTTCCCTGGTGGTCTAGTGGTTAGGAATCCTGCCAGTGCAGGGGACATGAGTTCAATCCCAGGTCCCGGAATATCCCACATGCCGTGGAGCAACCTAGCCCATGCACCACAACTGCTGAGCCTGTGCTCTACAATAAAAGAAGCCACCACTACGAGAGGCCCATGCACCGCAACCAGGCGTGGCCCCCACCCAACACAATTAGAGAAAACCCGCTTGCAGCAACGAAGACCCAGAGCAGCCAAAGATAAATAAGAGAAAAAAAGAATCAACTGGCTGCCAGGGTCAGGGAGGAGTGGTGGGAATGGGGCATCAGGAGAGTAGACAAAGGTAGAAGGAAGCACGGAGACAGGTGAGAGAAGGCGTTGGCTTGGAAGAGGGAAGAAGCAGGGGGGAGTGGGGGAAGGAGTGGGATAAACAGAGAAGTGAAATAATCACCCTTTTGGGAGATAGTGCGTGCTTGTCCGTGAGTTAAAGGGTGAGGAGGAGGAAGAACTCCCACCCTTCCGGCTCCAACAGGAAGTGACCAGCATGACCACTTAGCGAAATGTGGAAGAGTTACGAAAGGCATCTTTTCAAAGGATGCTATTTCTTGCTGAATCTTGGCAATCCCCTGGGGTCCCGCCTTCCTCCAGCAACTCCAAAGAAGCCACATCACTCTGGATACGTTTCCCCCCACTCTGAGCCCCAGAGAGTTGGAGAAGTGTACCCTGTAATGTCCCTCAGTACACACTTCCCTTCCCAAGGAACCCTGAAACCACAGTTGTCTTGCATAGTAAACCACTCTTCTCCTCATCTTTCACAAAGGCCTCCCTTTTTCTGCCATTATTTGTTCTATTAAGAGATACGTAGAGATCACTTACTACCAGACACCAGGTGCCTATAAAAGTGCAGAGCAGAACAGTGAAACCACTACTTTCTTGGGGAGTCAAACATCAGGGAAGTCTCTATGAGAAAGTGAGGCCGGGATCTGGAAAAGGAGGAGGAGCAAGACAAGAAGAAATGATGCCAGAACATTCCAGGCAGTGCAAATCACTAAAGACCCTGCAGTGGGCAGGAGCAGGGACCGGGGACAGGTGGTGGTGAGGGTCAGAACCTGAGGGGACTGTCTGGTTATGAGCACACATCAGTAACTATGGTTGACACTATTACTACTCATGGAGGTTTTACCCTGCCTAATATTTTTCCATGTCTCCCAGGAGGATAGGCGAAAAGGGCAAAAAATGTCCAGCTTTGGACATTTGTCCATTGCCCTTATCCCACTTCTGGGCCGAAATCTAGTAGTGATTAAAGGAAAACAAGCAGAAGTTCTTTTCAGCTGGACCTTTGAACGGCATTGTTCTGCTTTGGCTTTTCACTTAAAATCACAGCCTCTTCCAGGCTTGTGGATACCATCTGCTTTACTAGCAGAACAGAACAGAAAATGCATTGTACTATAATGGCTAACACTTAGATAGCACAGTGAGTGTCAAGCGCTGTCCAAAGTGCTTTATATGTCAATTTATTTCATCTCTGTTGTGGGTCCTATTACTATCCCCACTTTACAAAAGAGGAACCTGACTCTTTTTAGAGAGTTGGGAAATGACTTGTCCAAAGCCATGCGGCTGCAAAGCAGCAAAGCTGGGCAGTGAAGCCCTGCAGGTGGGCCTCCCAGATGACCCAGCTGTAAAGAATCCGCCTGCCAATGCAGGAGGCGTGGGTTCCATCCTAGGATCGGGAAGATCCCCCAGAGAAGGAAATGGCAATCCGTTTCACTCCAGTTGGGACTTAATTGCTCAGCCCCACTGCTGAGGGTGTTCGTTGACTGACTTTAGGTGTGCAGTGACCCACCCCCTCTGTTCCTCTCCCCAGCCCAGCCCCAGAACCATGCCGAGAAACAGGAGGTCACATTCAATCTGGATCCTGTACCCGTGGCCCGCTGTGTCTCCGCAGGCGGCCGACCACCTGCCCGGGTCTCCTGGCTCTCACCCTTGGATGGGGAGGCCAAAGAGACCCAGGGGTCGGGGCCCCTGCCTGGCACGGTCACCGTCACTAGCCGCTACACTGTGACACCCTTGAGCGAAGCAGACGGGGTCAAGGTCATCTGTAAAGTGGAGCACGAGAGCTTCCAGGAGCCCAAACTGCTGCCAGTGACTCTCTCTGTGCGCTGTGAGTACATCAGGCTGCGACCGCCGCCCCCCACCCGCCCCGTTACACTGGCCCCTCTAGGGCACCGTCTACGCAATCCCGGGGTGTGGTCTACACTGGCACTCTGGATCAGCTTCTGCACTGCCTTCCTGCCCATTGTCTACACTAGCTTCACTAGGCTGTCAACTTATTGCCACAATCAATGATACATCAGAATGGGCTTGCGAGGGTCAGTTTTATACATTTCTTCCCAATTCCACGTCCATTAAGTCTTACTGGTAGCTTGAATCAACTGTGAGGAGTATTTATATCAAGAAAATTGACAAACACTGCAAACTAGGGCTATCCCTTTTTTTTTTGTTTTGTTTTTTATCAGCATACACGGGCACCCAGCAATCTCTTCTGGCTCCCATGGTCCCCAGTTGACCCTGCTCCTTCACTGTTCTATATCAACTACTCTGTCCACGCGGCCCAGCCCAGTACCGTTTATGCACACACCCCCATTCATGCTGTCTGAATTGGCTCCCTGGGCACTGTCTACACTGCCTCGCCTGGGGTCTCTACACCAACTTCTTCCTGGAGTGTGACCACACCGGCCCTGTGGACCCTGTCAACGTGCTGTGGTGCTGTCAGTGTTGTTGGTGGCGATGGTGGTGGTGGTTTTGCAGGATCTTAGTTCCCCAACCACGGACTGAACCCGGAGCCATGGCAGTGAAAGGACCGATTCCTAACCACTGGACCTGTGAATACCGACCCCTTCCCATATGTGCTGAGCTCGCTGTCCCCAAACTGCTTACCCCGACACCCCCCCACCCTGATATTCCTCAGAGAGGCTTTCCCGGCACTCTCCCCACAGACTCTGCCAAATAGTTACCTTAGCAGCTTTTGCAACCGCATACCCCAACTCAGCATTTTCTGTACTAGCTCCCCAGACAATGCCTTCAGTTAAACTAATTCTCTAATCTGCTCTGGGCATGTCAGAAATGACACACATTATCTCCAGTGGCTCGCTCGGGCGCTGCCTGCACTGAACAGTAACTTCCTCAGAATGACCCTCAGTGAAGTCCCTGGATGGTCTCTGAGCAGGCACTGTCCCTGGGTCCACCTCCTGCCAGCCCACCCTGTTTCTTTAGGATTCTTATCTGTCTACTCACTTGTCACCCCTTCTGGGATTCCCCCAGTCACTGAGCCAGTCCCCCGTGTTTCCTGCAGACCCCCCCCAGGTCACCATATCCGGCTATGATGACAACTGGTACATTGGCCGTAGTGAGGCCACCCTGAACTGTAACGTCCGCAGCAAGCCAGAGCCCACGGGCTACGACTGGAGCACGTGAGTCCTGTTTGGAGCCAGACTCCTGGGTCTGGGGGAGGAGGGGCTGGGGGTCTGTACTCCTGGGTCTGAAGGAGGAGGGTGGGGCCTGGATCCTGGGTCTGGGGAGGAGGGGCTGGGGGTCTGCACTCCTGGGTCTGGGGGAGGAGGGGCTGGGGACATGGACCCCTGGGTCTGAAGGAGGAGGGGCTGGGGCCTGGATCCTGGGTCTGAGAGAGGAGGGGCTGGGGGTCTGGATCCTGGGTCTGGGGGAGGAGGGGCTGGGGGTCTGCACTCCTGGGTCTGAAGGAGGAGGGGCTGGGGGCCTGGATCCTGGGTCTGGGGGAGGAGGGGCTGGGGGTCTGCACTCCTGGGTCTGAAGGAGGAGGGGCTGGGGCCTGGATCCTGGGTCTGAGGGAGGAGGGGCTGGGTACATGGACCCCTGGGTCTGAAGGAGGAGGGGCTGGGGGTCTGGACTCCTGGGTCTGGGGGAGGAGGGGCTGGGGGCCTGGATCCTGGGTCTGGGGGAGGAGGGGTGGGGGGCCCAGACTCCTGGGTCATAAGAAAGGAACACCAGAGGCCTGAAACCGTAAGTCCCACAGGAGGAGGGAGTTGGCAGTTTGGGGTGTCAAGGAGTAAGTTTCAAGTCTGTGGAGCTTGGCTCTTGAGGGTTGTGTCATCAGGGACCAGACCTGGGCCCCCCATGGACCATGCTCTCCCTCTTACGTGACCCCCACACCCTCCAGGACTTCCGGTGTCTTCCCAGCCTCAGCAGTGGCCCAGGGCCCCAAGCTGATTGTCCACTCAGTGGATCGGCTGTTCAACACCACCTTCATCTGCACTGTCACCAATGCCGTGGGCACTGGCCAAGCCGAGCAGGTGGTCCTCGTTCGAGGTGAGCAGGTCTTGGGGGTGGTGTGATGACAGGGTCTGCTCCCCAAGTGTTCTTCCCGCTGGGCTCTGGGGCTGCACTGGGGGGCTGTGCCGCCGACCTGGGGTGAGCTGCACCCACCTCACCGATGTGGGGCATGGCTCTTATCCCCTGCCCCAGGTGGAGCCTGGATTGGAGTGACCTGGTAGGTGCCGACAGAGGAGTTAGGAACTTGAGGCCTAAGAAGGGTCGTTAGGAAGAGATCCAGGGTAACTGGCCCAGCCTCCAGCCAGTGAGACACACCCATGGAATCAGACAACTCACAGTCACAGGAGGGCAGCTGGACGAACACTCAGAGACAATAGACTTTTTACAGGGAGGGCTGGCGGGTACCACCCGGAAACCAGTTTGCGTGTGTGTGTTGGGATGTTTGTGTTCCTGGAGGTGGTATTTTGGGTTTGTTTTGTTTTTGTTCTTTTATTGGCCTGCCGCTCAGCTGACAGGATCTTAGTTCCCCAACCAGGGACCAAAACCAGGCCCATGGCAGTGAAAGCGTGGACCAGTGGACCGCCAGGCAACTCCCTGGAGGTGGTGTTTTGGAAACAGTGGCTGGTGTGTCTGGCAGTCAGAAGTTCTCTGAGTCTCCCTGATGGGACCCAAGATACACAGCTGGAGAGGGAAAAAGTGAAAGGAAACGAAGCCCAGGTGTGGGCTGATGGAAATGGGGTTGAAATCACAACTGTAGACTGCGATGCTTAGAGGGAGCCAGGGGGCCTCAGTGTGCCCCCCCCCCATCTCAGAAACACAACCAAAGACAGGCTCAGAGTCACCCATGTGAAGACAGACACACATGCACACTGGAGACAGGTGGAAGCAGGTCCCTTGCTGAGATGATCGTAACACACACGCACACACGCACATCTAGAAAGCCACCCACATGAGAACGGATCCTCAACCCACGCCTCCCCCCGCCCCCAAAGAAAGGAAAAATGAAAACAGATCCCTCTTGAGGAATTTCAACCCTTGCCAGGGAGATGTGATGTAGCCACACAAAAACACTGTCACAGACCACACACACACCCAGAGAGACCATTGGCCCACCCTCAGCACGTCTCACATGCTCAGATTCACAAACACACACGCCTGGAGGGAGACACATCCACACAGACATGCTACAAGCAAAAAGAACCTCCGGCAGCAAGCCCACATGGGGAAACATCATCAGCCAGATGCTGAGAAGGAAACTCGAAGACGTTCTCAAGGGCACGCCGTTGGAAACTCCAGAAATGTCACTGTGGAGTTTCTCTTTCCACAAATCATCCTCTGACCAGTTATTTGCTGAGGTTTCCTCTTGGCCAGTCATTCTCCTTGATGTTGGGAATACAGCGATGACCCAGTCGGAGCCCTGCCCTCCTGGGCACACCCAGAGGAGTCAGCTCCACCCACCCAGCAAGGTGCCCAACTGGAAACACACCCCCTGAACCTGTACCCCAGATACACACCCACCTGAGAAACCGGTGTCTCCACCCACACTGGGCCCGTGGAGGCAGAGCCTGCAGAAACCCCAGGAATGTCCACCGTTGGCAGCCCCCAAGGCGAACACACCACCGTCAGAGCTCAGCCTTAGACAGGCAGTATTCACCCAGTGAAAAGCACGTACCCAGAGCCCCAGGAGGAACCTGCAGGTGGGGTGGGGCGCACACAAAATCACACACCCGTGGAAAGACCCCCAACCCCCGCAAAGGCAACCACAGACCCACAGGCAGTCAAAAGCATCATTGCAAAGTCACACATCTACAGATGGACACCAACAGATGGGGGGTACTCTCTGAGCACTCTAGAAATTCAGTCAAAAGGTAGTGATGTGTCAACAGATGGCCTTGCCCAGAGAGGAGATTCACTCACAGCTCTTGGCAAAGTCACCTCAGAGGGTCTCAGAGACACTTCATGTTCCACGTGCACACAGACACACACAAGCCGTCACACTCCATTTGGGGCTCACGCCAGAGAAAACATAAGTACACAGGCCACGCCACAGGCTAGACGCTTCAGAAACTTCTGACCCTAAGACTGGAACACGCTCAGCCAGTACCTCCAAAATACCACCTTCAGTAACGTGGACACACGTCCTGACACGTGTAAAAACTGGTCTCCAGACTTCACTGAACAAAGTCTTTCCCACCTTCACCCAGGGTGCAGGTGTAGAAATATATCCCCACCAGAAGTTTCACAGAATACTATTGGCCCTTCACACTTGAGGTGGACTTTTTCTGTTTTACTGTTGCTTGCACTGATTTGACAGCCCACTAGGTCGTGACCCCCACCCCATCCCACCCTGGTTTTGAAAACATCTAGAAACTGTGGCCTGGGTTCCAGCCCCTCCAATGTCCAGAGGCATGGGGAGGAGAGGGTCAGGTATGAGTGGGTCCCTCCCTGGTCTCTCCCAGTCAGGCTGTGCATGCCAGGGTGGGGGAAGGGAGGTATGTGATAAGATGCTGGTTGCATCTGTGAGCCCCAGACGCCCCCTCCCTCATTCTCACTCCTCCCCTGCTTCCTACTCTACCCACCCTCATCCTCCCCCAGATCCCTCCCCTTCCACCAGCTCAGTCTCAGCAGGGAGAGGAAACCCCCGGGACTGTGGGCTTAAGGGGGGCCTTTCTCAATCCACCCTGGGGATTGGCGGGGGTGCTCAATCTCCTCAGTCCCCTTTCTCTCAAGTGCTCAGAGCTTTGGGATCAAACAGCTCAGGCTCAAACCCATCTCTGCTTCTTTCTGCTGGATAGGCCACAAGATTCTGTGACCCTGGCCTCAGAGTTTCTGGGAGGGAGTGGCAAATTCAGATGCCTACAATGTCCTGGCGAGGGACAGGGTGGCCAGGTGTGGAACTCTGTTCCCTTCAGAGTCCGCAGCCTCACTCAGCCACGGCCCATCACCAGGTGGAGGAGATGAGAGTTTGATGATGATAGATCTGGTTTTTTCTTTTTTTTTTTGGCCCTAAAATAAATCTGGAATTTTCAGTGAAATGACCTAGTGCTTTAAATGTTGGGTAGCAAGCTGTTGTTTCATGTATGCATGTGTGTATGTGTGTGTTGGTTTTTTCTTTTTTGGCCGCGTGGCTCGGCAGGTGGGCTCTTAGTTCCCCGACCAGGGATTGAACCTGTTCCCCCCACAGTAGGGCTTCCCAGGTGGTTCAGTGGTAAAGAATCCGCCGGGCTAATGCAGGAGACACAGGAGATTCAGTTTCTACCCCTGAGTCGGGAAGATCCCCTAGAGGAGGAAATGGCAGCCCACTCCAGTATTCTTGCCCGGAGAATCCCATGGACAGAGGAGCCTGGCAGCCTGCAGTCCATGGGGTCACAAAGAGTCCAAAACATGGCTGAGTGACTGAGCAATCCCCCTGCAGTGGAAGCACGGAGGTTTAACCATTAGACGGCCAGGGAATCCCTAGCAATTTTCATTTTGGTTTTGTGTTTGTTATTTCGGGAGTCTTCCCTTTTTTTTTTCTATTTTGTTAGCAAAACCCTGGGCAGGTGTGAGGAAATCCATCTGGGTGGGGCACCCGCTGGCCTGGAGAGTGAACGGGGCTCTCCCTTCCCTGCCACCTCCCGCTCTCTGTCCCAGTGGAGTCACCTCCCTAGTGCCCAGCACTGCCCTGCTGTGTCCCCCAGCCCCCCACCTCCAGATGTCTCCTCGTGACCTCCTGTCTCCCTCTCTCTCTCACCCCCTCTTCTCTCTCCTCAGACACCCCCCGGGCCTCGCCTCAAGGCGCGGGCCCAGTGGTGTGGGGGGCTGTGGGGGGGACACTGCTGGTGCTGCTGCTTCTGGCTGGGGGGTCCTTGGCCTTCCTCCTGCTGAGGGTGAGGAGAAGGAAGAACCCTGGAGAAGGAGGAGACGGCGGCACAGGAGGGCCCTACGGCCCGAAAACTCAGGTCTTGGGGAATGGGGGTCCCATCTTCTGGACGCCCACGGACCCTGGCCCGCTGAGGCCGGAGGGCAAGGACGAGGAGGACGAGGACGAGGAGGAGAAGGCAGAGAAAGGCCTCATGTTGCCTCCGCCCCCGGCCCTGGAGGACGACTTGGAGTCCCAGCTGGACGGCTCCCTCATCTCCCGGCGGGCGATTTACGTGTGACCTTCCCCCACCCACCACCCAGCTCACCCAGGCAGACAGACAGACAGACTGAGACAGACACAGCGCTGCGTGCCCAGCCAGCCAAGGGTTCCAGACTGGTTGAACTTGTTTGTCCGGAACGCACTGGAGTTCAAAGCTACCTCCCCCTTCCTTTGCTGGGATGTAGAGGACGCTGGAATATCACACACTGGACTTCTGAATCCCGAGCCGCAGGGAGCGGGGGAGGGCCCCCCGGGGGGAGGGAGGTGCTGGGGGAGGGGGACCCACAGAGCACCACCCCCCACAGAGACTCTCAGTTTGGGCTCCGGCCTGCCCTGGCCCCATGACACTCAGGAGTTAATAAACGCCTTGGAGGAAAACATCCCGGGGTGTCTTGTAATACATCAGACCCCCTGTTTGGGGGGTGGGACAGGGACTGCTAGGTCCCAGCGGGTGGGCGCTGGAGAGGGGGAGAGTGGTGGGGGCTAGACTTGGGGAGGCTGGTGGAAGGGAGGACTCTGGTCACTTGGGTCCTCGACGGACATACTGGATGTCCGAGCCGTCTGAGGCCCGGGGAACTGGGCTTGGGCTGGCGCTTGGATGCTGGGCTTCCAGGACAGCCTTCCCAGGCCAAGTGGCCAGACTGGCAGGAGAACTGAGTTCCTGGGCCCAGTGGGGCTGAGATCATGGGCTCCTGGGCCCTCAGGGGTGGCGAGGGCCTGGGATCTGATCCTCTGGGGGCATCTTGGACCCGACCTCCCCGAGTCTGCTGAGGACATTGGGAGGGAGGACTTGCCACCTGCATTCTCGGGGTACTAAGAAACCAGGGAAGCCCCACCTGGGGAGGACATCACATCGGCCTTTCCTACCTCCTTCCTATTCCCTTATCCCCAGGCTGGGCCCAAGGAGGGGCTCTGTATCCTTCTCACTGCCCCCTCCCCCGTTAGAAAATCTTCCAGACTGGGGCTGGTGACTGGGGGCGACGAGGGAGGCAAGGTTAAATCCAGTCACCTCCACTCTCCCGAGCCCCACAACCACCTCAGGTGGCCTTCGTCTCTGCTCCCGAGGCTGTCATGGGACTCAGCTAAGGCTGCACCCAAACACCCAGCATGGAGTGGAGCCCCCAGGAGAGGCTGGGCGAGTCTGCTTCTTCCACCAGCATAGCCTTCCACCCACTCTGCGGCGGACACAGCGGTGGCGCGCAGTCAGAGGAGCAATCTTAGGATGAGCAAGTGTGTGGACTGAGCAGCAATTACTCTGATATTTCCCCGACGCTCTGAGAAGCCCTCCAGAGGATGCCAGGCTGTGTAACAGGAAGCTGTGGAAATAGGATGGTCCAGGGATCCAGACAGCATTCCCTCGGGCAGCTTTCCTCCTCCTCTCTGTGGTGGGGTTGATGGAAGGGGGAGGCCCGTGGGCAGGGCCTCGGCACACATGTTATTTCCTCTGGTTGTTTACCTAATGTACCACCCTGTCCTATCCCGCCACCCCACCCCCACCCCAGCGGCCGCCACCTCCCCCAACGGGAGGGTAGTGCCAGGAGTGCAGGAGCAGGAATGTGGTCGATCTGGCAAACAGTGGGTCCCCAAGTGTCCCTGCTGGGCCCCTCCTTATGCATCTAGAAAAACACCAACTGTGTGCCAGACCCCATCCCTTGGACCGCACAGTGTGGAAATTGGCAAGTAAACAGGTAATGGCTCCAATAAGGATTCAGGAAGTGGGAAGTGTTACAAAGGAGAGATCCGGGATTTGGTCGGGGGGGGGGGAGGTCACAGTTCTCTCCACCCCTTTTCCTGTGAGGTTGGAGGCCCTCTGATGCTCTGCCCAGGATAACTTCTTTCTGTATAATGCATAAGGGGTTCTGATCCCAAGTCCAGAATCACACCCACCCCTGATTTTCTGCCTTTTTGCTCCATTCCTGGTCACCTCTCTTCCCCTAGCACCACACTTTCCCATCAGCTCTCTGCTCTCTGCTCTGCTCCCTCCTGTCCCTAAAAACAACAGGAGGCTTCCTCCAAGGACCTTGGCTCTGGCTGGCTGTTTGCTTTTCCTGGAATGTTCTCATATCCTCATGGCTTGCCCCCTACAGCTACTTGGGGTCTTTGCTCAAATATCTTGCAGTAAGGCTCTCTCTGACTACCTTTGACTACCCTGCTCTGTCACTTAGCACTTCCCTACTATAAGTAAGGTGAATGGCATTGGCATTATGTGGCATTATGTGTCATTGCCTTTATATATATCAAAGTGAAAGTGAAGTGAAAGTGAAGTCTCTCCGTCGTGTCCGACTCTTTGCGACCCCATGGACTGTAGCCTACCAGGCTCCGCTGTCCATGGGATTTTCCAGGCAAGGGTACGGGAGTGGGCTGCCATTTCCTTCTCCAGGGATCAAACCCAGGTCTCCCGCATTGCAGCAGACAGGCTCTTTACCATCTGAGCCACAAGGGAAGTATATATGTATATATGTATAATTGTTGTTTTTGGCTGTCCTGGGCCTTCATTGCAGTGCGCAGACTTCTCATTGTGGTGGCTTCTCTTGTCGCAGAGCACAGGGCTCTAGGCATGCAGGCTTCAGTAGTTGCGGCTTGGCGGCTCTAGAGCGTGGGCTCAGTAGCTGTGACGCACGGGCTTAGCTGCCCCGCAGGATGTGGAAGCTTCCCGGACCAGGGATGGAACCCATGTCCCCTCCATGGGTGGGTGGATTCTTATCCACTTCGACACCAGGGAAGTCCCCACGATTACCCTCTATCATTTGCTGTCACCTGGCATATTAGCTATTGTATCTATTTCTCTACTTGTGGCCTCCCTGCTCAACAAAACATTCATCCCAGGGGACTGGGGCTTTTGCACGTTTTGTTCACCATTCTAAAACATAATAAATGCTCAGTGAGGATTAAGTGAATAAAAAGAATGGCCTCTGCCCTTGGGAGAGGTGGTGACTCAAGGGTGGGGTGGGACTGGGAATAAGGTGCTGTGTGGCTTCCTCTTGGAGACTCCCTCATGCTGTCCTCCTTCTTGTAGAGACACCCAACACAGCCGGAGCAGGGGCCACAGGCGGCATCATTGGGGGCATCATCGCTGCCATCATCGCTACTGCTGTGGCCGCCACGGGCATCCTGATCTGCAGGCAGCAGCGGAAGGAGCAGAGGCTGAAAGGGGCAGAGGAGGAGGAGGAGTGAGTGAAGGGTCCTAAGAAGTGGATGGGGGAGGGGTCCCAGGACTGGGGTGCACGGGGTGGGGAGGAGGCTGGGAGAAAGTCATTGGTAATGGCTGTGACGCTGAAATGGCTCAGCTTCTCTGCACACCGGTGCCGAATCAAATCTTCAAGACAGAATTTGGGATGACTGGCAGGCTGCTGTCCAGAGGGTCGCACCACTGAATCGACTTAGCACGCACCCAGAAAAGAGTAGCTTTATTGCTTTGCCAAGCAAAGGGGGACACAGCAGGCTACTTCCCTCAGAACCCAAGTGTCCTAAGTTGGGGAAGATATTGAGAAGTTTTATAGTAGTTGTTCAAAGAGGGTGCAGTCATCCCGTGGACATTCTTCTGATGGATTGGTGGTGAGGTAAGTAGGAGTCAGCAGCATCAAGCTTCAGGTCCAACTGGTCTGGGGTCTACATTCTTGCGGGCCACTGACCATCATTAATCAGTTGCTTCTCCCACCTGGAGGGGATTTCTTTATCTGCAGAGTACCTTAAAGATATTGTTGTGTATGTACCCATTAATAGGGAGACAGGACCTTGGCCCAAGGCTGCTCTTAACTGTTTGTTTCTCCCTGGTTTTGCATATCCTACCTTCCCTAAGTCACAACTGCTTGAATCTGCCCATTGGCACTCAGGGAAGGTCATGGAGACTGAATGAAGGGTGTTTCCTATAAACAAAGAAATGGGGGACACAGAAAGGCCTTGTGTCCCAGGAGCCCCACAGGACCTTGCACAGTATCAGCTCTGTGAAACAGAGTGATCCAAAATGTCAGGACTTAAATGGGGTGGAGAGGAGAGTTTATTTCCTAGAAATCATGGCTATGACAATTCTGCTCTGTGAAGTAATCAGAGTCCAGATTCCTGCTATCTTGTTGTTCTGTCCTCCCTTCATTCACATTCCAAGATGGCTTCCTTCTCTCTTATCATTGTCTATGTACACGACAACCAGACATGGCCATCCTGGCCTCAAGGACCACTCTGCCTGCCAGTGGGAAGGGGATATGGAAATAGAGGGCAGTCTTATAAGGGAACCATCACATTCTCTCATTTCCCATTGGCCAGGGTCTAGTCACACGGCTGCCCTAGCTGCAGAGGAAGCTGGGAAATGTAATCTTTATTCTGGGTGGCCACATACCCAGTCAAAATCTATATGACTGTGAAAAAAGAGGAACCTGGATATTAGGGGAAATTAGCCCCACTTCTTTCTGTAGAGCACTTGTTATGAGAGGCATCTTGACATCTCTATAGCATCTTGTAGAGACTTGATGAGAGGCATCGTACTTGTGATCTCAATGAAGCCTCATATCCATTCATTCATTTGTTCATTCAGTAAGTAATTCAGAAAGTATTCCCTTGGAGTGAGGCCTTGAAATTTAGGAACACAATGATGAGACAAAACACTTAAAAGATGTCCAAAAAAGGGCTTCCCTGTTGGTCCAGTAGTTCAGAATCCGCCTGCCCATGCAGGGGACATGGGTTTGATCCCTCGTCCCACAGGATCCCACATGCTATGGAGCAACCAATCTTTTGCATCACACATATGGAGCCTGCATGCCTAGAGCCTGTACTCTGCAACAGGAGAAGCCCACGTACCTTAGGGAAGACCCAGCACAGCCAAATAAATAAATAAATAAACCTTTTTAAAAAATGCCCCCAAAATAATACATTTAAAGCACAAATAAAAGATAGCCACACACAACATATCGTATCATGGAAACCTGAATTCTCAGACAGAGCTAAGGATACACATCTTCTCAAAGAGGAAACAAGTTTAGAGAGCTGAAATCACTTGCTGAAATTTGTTCAGCAAGAAACTTGAGGGCAAAATGGTTCTGAAATAATACGACCCAGTGTGTGTGAGGGGAACACTTGTTAAAAATACACCTTCCTGGGCTTACTCCAAACCTACTAAATCAGCACTTTTACAAGAAGGGCTTGCCGTCCATATTTATAACAAGCTCCCAGATGCACATGAAAGTCTGTGAACCAGTCTTAATCATCTAGTCAATGCAAACCAACAACCTGCTGCTGTTCTCGTCTTCTAAGCCCGTGAGACCCAGTGGTGTCTGAGATGGCTCTGGTCTTGGCCTCCTGGGGTTCACAGTCTGGAAGAGACAGATCCATCCCCAGATGGTGACAATCCAGCATGGCTAGGAATGGGCTAGGGAAGCTGAAGGAGCTGAGCGCGGCTACAGAGGGCACCTGATTCAGCCTGAAAGATCAGGGAGGACTTCCTGGAAGCAGGGACATCTGAGCTAGGGATTGAAGGTGTAGTGAGCACCCACGATTATTATATATACGGGATACTCTGGTCTATGGGTGTGCAGAATGAGGGAATTTAATATAGTTTGGGGGACAGGAAAGCATTTCGCTCATTCTTTTCATTCTCTCTCTTTTTTAAATGATTTATTCATTTGGCTGTGCTGGGTCTTTATTGCTGCACCCTGGCTTTATCTAGTCACAGCAATTGGAGGCTACTCTCCAGTTATGGGGCACAGGCTCCTCATTGTGGTGGCTTCTCTTGTTGCAGAGCACAGGCTCTAAGTGCACTGGCTTCGGTATTTGCAGCCTGTGGCTCTAGATGCAGGCTCAGCAGTTGTGGCCCATGGGTTTATTTGGCCCATGGCACATAGGGTCTTAGTTCCCGGACCAGGGATCGAACCCGTGTCCCCTGCAGTAGCAGGCAGATTCTTTTTTTGTGTTTGTTTGTTTGTTTGTTTGTTTTTGTGCAGGCAGATTCTTAATCACTGGACCACCAAGGAAGTTCTCATTCTCTCTTTCTCCAAATATGTCCTGATAACTCCTCATTGTAGGTTCTGGGAACACAACACAAATCTCATCCCCCCCCCCCCCCCCGCCACCTCACACTGCAGCAGGATACAGTTGTTGAATGAGATCAGAAGTAATATTTCAAATACAAACTCAGTACGTGCCCCATTAGAGACACATAGATAGCTATGATCCTATAACAGGAACTCTGGATCCTCCTGGAGAGTCAGGAGGACTTCCTGGAAGAAGAGAAATTCATGGAGTGAGTAACAGACAGTAGGGCAAGGGGAGGTGGGTGGTGGAAAAGGGAGATCAGGTGGAGGAAAGAAATGTGCAGTGGCTCTGGAATAGAGGGGCTTTCAGGGCTTAGCCTCCACCTGACTTACCTCCTACCCCACAGACTGGAGGGACCTCCCTCATACAAGCCACCGACCCCAAAGGCAAAGCTGGAGGAACCAGAGATGGTAAGCACTTTTGCTGAAGCCCAGGCTGCCCCCACCTCCCCTCCCACCTTTCCCCACTGAGGCTGGGGCTGGGATTGGGGAACTGGAGGGAAGAGGCTGTCAGGGTAGGGGGGTGCTCCTGACTTGTCCCACTCTCTCTCCCATTGCAGCCCTCCCAGCTCTTCACCCTGGGGGCCTCAGAGCACAGCCCACTCAAGACTCCCTACTTTGATGCTGGTGTCTCATGTGCCGAGCAGGTAGGAACTCGGGAAAGGTCAAGGGTGGATTTGGGATCTGAGTTTAAGGGCCTCCTTACATAAGAGGGGGCTTCTCAGGTGGTGCTAGTGGTAAAGAATCTGCCTGCCAATGCATGAGACATAGGACTCTGGGTGGGTAAGATCCCCTAGAGTAGGAAATGGCAACTCACTCCAGTATTCTTGCCTGGAGAATCCCGTGGACAGAGGAACCTGGCAGGCTACAGCCCATGGAGTCCCACAGAGTTAGACATGACTGAGCACGCATGCAGAATCTTACATAACAGATCAAGTTTTAAAGATTACAACTCAAGTTCAGGGCTGTATCTCTGGTCAGAGCTTAGACGATTGAGATGTATTTAGGATTCAGTGAGGACATTCATGGTTTTGAAAGTCCAACAAGGGATGAGAGTTAAAATCACTCTATCAAAGAGGACCAGTTGAGTATCTCCATTTGCCAGATACTGTGCCTGGAGCTGGGACAAGACAGACAGTCACTCCCCTCAATGGCCTCCTGGAGGTCAGGGGTTGGATGTTGAGTTTGAGAACAAATCAAGTTTCAAGGGTAGAGCTTAAGTTTAGGTCAAGATTGAATTCAAAGGCTCAGGGGGAAAGACCAGGGTTTCAGTGATCAAAAGAAAAGGAGAAGCTTAGGATCAATGGGGTAGGGTCCATGCTCTGAGCTTCGAGTTAAGAACCACCTACATGATTGTCCCAGTGCAGTATCAACCCAGGTGACAAGGGGTGACATAGGATGAGGTTAGGTCTGGTTGGCATGGGGAGACAGTGGCCAGGATTTGAGGGTCAAGGAGCAAACGGATTCTGTGTCATGCTCAAGAGGTAACCTTGGATTCATTCCCTCCCCATTCCCAGGAAATGCCTCGATACCATGAGCTGCCCACCTTGGAAGAACGGTCAGGGCCCCTGATCCTTGGGGCCACAAGCCTGGGGTCCCCCATCATGGTGCCTCCAGGGCCACCTGCTGTGGAGAGGGTTTCCCTGGATCTAGAGGACGAGGAGGAGGAGGAAGACTATCTGGACAAGATCAACCCCATCTACGATGCCCTGTCCTACTCCAGCCCCTCTGAGTCCTACCAGGGCAAAGGCTTTGTCATGTCCCGGGCCATGTATGTGTAAGCTGCCATGGCCTTGCCCTTTCACCTCTCATTTTTTGATATCTTAACTTTCTGCCAGGGATCTAGGGTCCCCGACCTCGGGCCCAGCCACTGTCAGTTAGCACACATGCATATCATTTTTGACTTCTATCTTGGTGGCTCCTCTGTGACCTCTAATCAATGATCTCTGATTCAGAGAAATTGGCCATGACAATGGGAACCTGATCATCTTAGGAGGGGCTGGAGAAGGTAGGTTTCTGCACAAACTCTTACCCAAGGATTCCCCAGACATAGACTATACCTCTCACGACCCACCATCTCCAGACTCCTCCCAAATCCCAAAGAAGACCCCAGACCTGATTTTTCCTCAGGCAGTAACTCCTAATAGCTCTGCTGGGCTGGGTGTTGGGGACAGCCTGCTCCTCAGACCTGAGCCCTCCAGGCGGCAGAGCCTCTCTCACCCATTCCCAACCCTGTCCCCTAACGGTGGAGGAAGGGGATTCCCCAGCCCAAAGCGTAACTTGCCCATCTCCTCCCTCCTGCAGGCAGGAGTCTCAGGGTACAGACCCTTCTTCCCTGTGCCCCCACTATCCCAATTCCTGTCTCCAGAGAATTAAGCCCCAGCTCAGGGCTACATGGGGTGAGCCTCATGCAGAGTGTGCCTTGCTGTTGCCAGCCTTGGAAGAATTTGCTGTCACTTTGAAGACGACTGAGTCCTTTTACTCCGGCCCAGTGGGATTGGACCCAGACATCTCCCTGGGGGTTGCGGGGAGTGGATCACCTGGGTTAGGGGTAGGGGATGTGTTTTTTTTTTTTAACATAGCATTTCCTACAAAATATGAGTTTGTACTTTGACCGGTCTCAACTGGTGTTTTCTGTGAACTGTTTAGGGGATAGGGGTGGAACATAATGGGTAATGGATTGGGGGGAGGGGGGTGGGCAGGGTCCAGGGCTTGAAGGAATCAGTAGACTAGAAGTTAAGATAGGTTACAGACAAAAAGAAAAGGACCAAAGATATGAAAAAGATAATTGAGGGGATAATGAGCAAAAATGCATAAGCCATGGTTAATGGAAGGAGCGGGAGGAGTCCAGGGCATAAGGAAAAATAACAGCAGTCTAATGGCTAACGGACAGAAATAAACGGAACAAAGTAGGAATAGCAGTAACTAAGTACAAGGGGCAGGGGTGTAATGAGTAAGAGTAGGCCAAAGGCAAAATTATGAATAATGTTGTAATAGGAGCTCAGGGCATGATGGGTAATAGATCTCAATGAATGAGCCAGGGGTAGAGGAATGAATAAGGGAGAAATAGGGGCCACAGGCAAGTTGAGCAATAGAGATAAAGCCTGATGCTCAATTAAGTTACAGCTAGAAGAATGCGGGAGGAATTTTCTGGTGGTCCAGCAGCTAAGACTCTGCGCTCCCAGTGCAGGCGGATAGGGTTCCATCCCTGGGCAAGGAACTAGATTCCGCGTGTTGCAACTAAGAATTCACAGGTCACAACTAAAGATCCTGCATGTCCAGCCGTGCAGCCAAATATTAATAGATACATACTTAAAAAAAAAAAAAGAATGTGGGAAATGAACAGGCGTAAAAGGGCTAAGGGTCGTACAGGCAACCAAGTTGAAATGAATGGAGCGGAAGGCATGCTGGGTAATGGGATAGGAATGAATGGGCCAAAGATAGAAGCTTCAGTGACTGAGGCAAGGGTTGGGGGAAAGACAGAAAGCATGATGGGTAACGAAAGGGGTGGGCCTACGGCAACTGTCCCGTTAATAGGTAAGAGGTATTGTGGGTAACAAGAAGCAGGACAGAGTTAACATAACGGGTTAGAATTCTCCCCGTGGCACTGTGGGAAGGGCTAGCACTTCCGGCTTTCGGTCTGCGACTTTGGACTAGGGGGCCGCCCCTTTGCCGCGGTGCCTGGTGGGATGCGAGGCCTGACCTTGCTGCCTAGCAGCCTCTGCTGCGCAACCCATCTTTATCCATGTCCCTTGACCCTCGCACGTTAGCCAATGAACACACAAGATGGATTACGACACCAGGGTCCGACCCCTGTACCTGCAGGAGCCAATCAGGAAGCTGCAAGGGCCAAGGACGACCAATTATCATTAACAACTTCGCCGCCGGGCGGAGTCGAAAGAGGGACGCCTTCGGGAATGGGGCTGAGGTATTACGTCAGTGGGCGGTGCAAAGTGAGCAGCACAGACCAATGGTGGGTGAGCCCCGGAACCCGCGGCATCACGAGCCAATCGGCGTGGACTCACCAAGCCAATGGGAAGGGCAGGGAGGTGTGCTGTAACCAGTCTGCGAGTGGGAACCAACAGAAAAGGACGTTCCAAAGAGATGGGTGGGACTCTCACCCATGACTCCAATAGTAAGGCCAGACCCTGAAGCTGGTGGGAGGATCTCAAGGTCCTCTAAACCAATGGGCTAGGTGGGGCGGGGCGACGGTGGCGGCGGCGGCGGCAGCGGGTTCGGTTGCGCGTGGCCCACGGGGTGGGAGCGGAGCCCGGACCGGGAGGAGGCGCTACCGCGCGTAAGAATTGGGGTTCTGAGCGGGGGGGGCCTGGGGGGTGTTGGCTGGAGACTCGGCCTGGAGCCTGCGGGCCTTGACCTCTGCCCCCTGACCTTTCCCCTTGCAGGCGACCATGGGGAACGTATTGGCCGCTAGCTCGCCGCCCGCAGGGCCGCCGCCGCCGCCTGCGCCTCCCCTCGTGGGACTGCCGCCACCTCCGCCCTCTCCTCCCGGCTTCACGTTGCCGCCACTCGGGGGCGGCCTGGGCGCTGGAGCTGGCACAGGTCGAGGTTCCGAACGGACCCCCGGGACTGCGGCTGCCAGCGCTGGAGGGACCGGCGACGATGGGGCCTGCGGCTGCCTGCCCAACCCGGGCACGTTCGAGGAGTGCCACCGGAAGTGCAAGGGTGAGGGGCTGGGGGCCTGGCTGGGGTGTGATGGCCCGGATCTCGGGGGAAGGAGGAGCGCACTGAGGACCTTGGGAATTGGCACGGACCATTGGAATCACTTAACAGAGCGTTAGGAGTTGACGTTGGGATCCAATAGTGGAACATTGAACCTGGGGCTTAGAATGATGGGATCAAATGATGGAACCTCAGGATGGAATGCCAGAGCGGCACAGAAAAACCTTAAGGACCTCATGTACCCCAGGAATCGGCCAAGCCAGCCTTATGTGATCGGGAGGGAAACCGAGGCCCAAGGTCACAGTGTCATCAGTGGGTCATTGGAGGTGGAACCCAAGGCTTCTGGATCCTGGCTTGGAGTAATTGTGGTAGTGAAAGTGGTGTTGGGTTATTGAGCACTGTTCTGGCATTCAGTGTGTGTTAACTCATTAAATCCTTGCAGTATTTCTATGTGGTGAGCATCTTCAACTAACAGATACGTTTGACATGGATAAAATAACTTGACTAAGGTCACACAAGTAGTAGATGGTGGCACTAGAATTTGGATGCAGGCAAAGGCTTTGGTCCTGAGCCCATCCTCTGGGCAATTCTGCCTTTTCACTGGATGAGGTGCTTTGTGCAGTGTGCTGGTTGTGGGTTCCTGGAGAAGAGAGAGTAGGGACTATAGGGAAGAATGGGATGAGAGATGGGGTGTGTGTGTTGAAGTGTGACAGCATTTTTCTCTCCTTCAGAGCTGTTTCCTGTTCAGATGGAAGGTGTCAAGCTCACAGTCAACAAAGGGTTGAGTAATCATTTCCAGGTGAGCCTTTCTGGTGCCATTATCCTTCAGAGGTCATCCCTGCCATCCCTCTGCATCTGCACATACAGTCCTTTAACTCCTTCTTAAAGATCTGGGCTCCTTGATACTTAAAAGACACCAGAGACAGTGCCAGGCTTACCACTCAGTTTGGGGGCAGTGGTAGGGTTTAGGGACCCACCCCCACAACCAACATTCAGGCAGGGATGAAGTACCAGGTATGCCCCCACACATCCCTTCTCTTGAGTGTCTAATCTAGTGAGGCCACACCTCCCAGTGTCAGAGACACCCTGACAGGGAAGTCAGATTGGCAAGCATCCCCCATCCCAGGCTGGAGGGGAGCTGACCTGGAAGTGGGCTCAGCTGGGTTCCCTGGGGAGTGGCCCACAGGCTCATCACCACAGCCCTACCTCTTCTTCCAGGTGAACCACACAGTAGCCCTCAGCACAATCGGGGAATCCAACTACCACTTCGGGGTCACGTATGTGGGGACGAAGCAGCTGAGTCCCACAGAGGTGAGGTACCTTTTGCCATTCATTCATTGTATCTTTCTTCTAACAAATAATGTAGCCAGTCAGTGGAAGAAAGCTTTGTCAGTAGGAGACTGGGCTGCTGGTGGTGTGGGGAGGTGGGAACTGGGTCTCTCCAGGGTGCATAGAAACCTGGGTCGTTCCTTCATCCTGACCCCCACTTCTCTGGGTGAGTCTGAGGACAGCAGGGTCACCAGACAGTGATGACCCAGAGTGAGCAGGGCTGAGCTGCAGATCATGCAGGGCTTGAAGGCCAAGCCAGGCATTTGAACTTTCGCTAGGGGGCACTAGAGAGCCACGGAAAGATTTAAAGGAGGGGAAGATGCTGTGATACCAGTGCTTTGGAAATAGCATTTCTCAGGCTGTCTTCGGAGGCTGGGTTAGAAGAGTGAAGGCAAAACTGGAAGTCCAGAAGGAGGCTGGGGCAGGACACAGGTGGAGTTGGGGGGCTAAATTAGGTTTTTGCTTGTGTTAACTATTTCCATGCAATAAACTTATTTACTCAGCAAATCTTCAGGGCACCCCTCCATGTCCTGCGCATCTCTGTGCTGGGTGGTCCTGGGGACACAGCGGTGACTGAAACAGCCCTGGGGGCTCACAGCCTAGTGGAGAAAGAGAATAAGCTTGTCCCCAGAGAGGAGCAGTCCAGGGAGAGTAGGACTGAAATGGGGAAACCCAAAGGCTGAGCCCAGAGGAGAGCCTAACTCAGCCTAGGTGGTCTTAGAGGGCTTCCTGGAGGAGAGGACCTCATTCTAGGCTTTCCAATCCTAGGCTTCTCACCAGAACCCATCATGCATGTACATCCATGATGTCAGGCCTCTCACTTCTAACCCTGCCCTCTGCCCCACAGGCATTCCCCGTGCTGGTGGGTGACATGGACAATAGTGGCAGCCTCAATGCTCAGGTCATTCATCAGCTGGGCCCTGGCCTCAGGTCCAAGATGGCCATCCAGGTGAGTGGAAGGATGGAGTCGGCGACTCCCCCCAGCCACCCTGAGCCCCAGGCTGCCCTTGGGTGTTGAAGCCAAGAACTCAAGGGACAGTGTGACCAAACAAACTGAAACATCAGTCTGGAGCAGAGAAGGGCTTATCGCAAAGATCAAGCGAGGAATATGGGTGGCTGGTTCTCTACAGACCAAACTCCCCCTTAGTTTTCAGGGAGTGAATGCGTGAAGTCACTCAGTTGTGTCCGACTCTTTGTGACCCTGTGGGCTGGAGCCCGCCAGGCTCCTCCGTCCATGGGATTTTCCAGGCAGGAATACTGGAGTGGGTTGCTATTTCCTCCTCCAGAGGATATTCCCGACCCAGGGATTGAACTCAGGTCTCCCGCATTGCGGGCACTCTTTACCATCTGAGCCACCAGGGGATCCCAGTTTTCAGGGAAGGGCTTTTAAAGGCAGGTTGGGGCCAGGGTGCTGCAGGATGTGTGACTTTCTTCTGGTTGGTCAGTGGTGAGGCCATAGGGTGGTGTGCCAGGAGTCTTGTGCTCAGCTGGAAGTTCCCGTCCTCCTCCTGGGTGGAGGCCCTAGCATGTCCTTGACAGGAGCTAGGATTCCACCTTACGGCACTGTTGTGCTGTGCTTACTCACTCAGTTGGGTCTGACTTTTTTTGACCCTTTGGATTGTAGCCAGTGAGGCTACTCTGTCCATGGGATTTTTCAGACAACTTTTCAGAATACTGGAGTGGGTTGCCATTTTCTCCTCCGGGGGAATCTTCCTGACCCGGGATCAAACCCATCTCTCTTGTGGCTCCTGCATTGCAGGCGGGTTCTTCACCTGCTGAGCCCTAAGAGAAGCCCTCACGGCACTACTGTGTGACTGTTGGCGGATTGCTTTTCCTTTCTTTCTGCTTTCCCTCTCTTCTCTGATGAGTAAATAGATCTGCCGTCAGGGAAGGTCTAGGAGGTTGAAGCCTTTCTCCTACAGAAGAGAAGGGCAGCCCGCTGAAAGGCCCTTTGTACCCCGGCGGGCCCCATGGGGTCCTGCTCAATTTCACCCTCATACTTGGCCCTCCCCCCACAGACCCAGCAGTCGAAGTTTGTGAACTGGCAGGTGGATGGGGAGTACCGGGGTTCCGACTTCACAGCAGCCGTCACTTTGGGGAACCCAGACGTTCTGGTGGGTTCAGGTAAGAGGCACAGGGCTTGGAAGGTGGTCAGACCCCACGCCCAGCAAATCCATTTCTCCCTCTGACCATCCTTTTCTGCCGTCCAAGAAATGGTCAGGGGCAGGCGTGACTTCATAACACAGAGCATCCATCGGGTCCTGTAGCTTCATAGGGGAAAAAATAGGTTCAAGTCCCAGCTCTGCCACTGGCTTCATTGCATTTGGGGGTGGCGGGGGGCTGGCACTTCCATCACCCTCATGGGCCTTGGCTTCCTCATCTGTTAAAATTGGATTGCCTCACAGGGTTGTCGAGCAGGCCATGTGTGGAAAGTCTCAAATGGGGTTAGGCATGTGACGGGTCCCAAGGAAAGGAGCTGCTGCATTACTCGTGGGGCTCTGGGGTTGCTTGGGGGCACAGAGCTGACCCCAAGGCAGGCGAAGTCCACGTGCAGCTGAGGGGAGGCAAGTCAGTCTGAGATGGAGGGCAACAAGGAAGATTCCTGTTTGGGTTGGCTGGGAGCAAGGACCTGCTGACTAATGTCTGTACTTCTGGTCTCTCCTGTCTGCTTCCCCCTTTTTTATTTTTGTCTCTGGGCATCTGCCTTTGATTTCTCTACACTGATCTGATGTTTCTTGACTATGAATCATATATTCCATGTCCAGAGGATATGGTGGTGAACCTAAGGAAAACTAAGTCTGTCTTCTGGACATTCTAGTGGTGATTTTTATATTATGTATATTAAGGGAGGCGTGGTAAGTCACTTCGGTCTTCTTGAACTCTTTGTGACCCCATGGACTGTAGCCCACCATGCTCCTCTGTCCATGGGAGAGTCCAGGCAAGAATACGGGAGTGGGTTGCCGTGGCCTTCTCCAGGGATCTTGCCGACCCAGGGATCAAACCCAGGTGTCTTATATCTCCTGCATTGGCACGCAGGTTCTTTATCACTGGCGCCACCTGGGAAGCCCCTGGAACCTTCCATTCTAGAGACACAAGTAAAGCAGATGGGTGATGGAGCCCTATGGAAAGATGGTGGCGTCGGGAGGGGCTGGTGGAGTCTTGAGAGAAGGCCTCATTACGTAGGTTATTCTTGAACGAAGACTGAAGGATGTGAGGGAAGGTGCCAAGCAGATATGTGGGGAAAGAGCTTTTCAGCTGGAAGGAACAACAAGTCCAAAAGCCCTGAGGTACGACCCTTCGCTGGAACATAGAGGAGGACTGGAGCTACAAATGAGGAAGGAGGGCAAGTGGTAGAAGTCAGGATGGCAGGGCTGAAACATAAAGCTCTGGAGAGCTTCTGAGTCTGAGGCCACAAGAGGATTTTGAAAGGGACAGGATCATCCGACAGGACCTCTTGTGCCGACGTGTGGAGATCTGGGGGGGATCTGTATTCACTGCTGGATTTGGTGTGGGAGATAAGAGGGAGGTCAGAGTTGAGAGGTCAGCCTTTTTTTTGGCTTGACCCACTGGAAGGGTAGAGTTGGTGATTCTGGATTCTTATGCCTGCTGTTAGCTCTGAGGAAAAGCAGGCAGGCTCTTGGGCAGCGAGTGCAGCATGAAGGCAGGAAGCCAGGACACTTGGGTGCCCAGCACCTGGAACCGTGCTGGAAACAGAGTAGGCGCTCAGAAGATACCGCACAAAGGAGTGAGCAGCAGTCACCGCAGGTCCTATTTCCCACCTGGTGCCCTTTGCCAGGCCCTCAGCATACTGTGCGCACCCAGGCCTTCATCCAGTCACTCGAGCCAATGGGAACTGGCTCATGGAATCCTTCACGGCCCTGTGGGGTGGTGCTGCCGTCATCCCCATCTGATTGAGGCCCAGAGAGGGCAAGAACTTCCCCCCAGGACACACAGCGAGGCCACCTCCAGAGTCCACGGCACCAGGCCCCCCGCCCCTGCAAACACTCACCAGCATCGGCCTTTCATGCTTCTCAACACTGGCTTCTAGGTCTCTCTTCCCTGGAGCCCAAGGCCACCAGTGACACTCCCGTCTCTTAGTCCCTATGGACATCCCTTCCTCCCCTCAAGCACCGATCAGAACTTCTGGGCCCAGGGCAGTACTGAGTATGTGAGTAGTTACTCATGTAACTGACATGAGTAACATGCAATTCATGACCACTGACAGCGGGAGGCTCCACCCATTCTGAGCCTCGGTTTCCCCATCTATCTCAAAGGCATAATCACAGCAAGGGGACCTTGGTGAAGGAATCAATGGGCAGACCTGTCAGCCCCTTGTGGGGCCAGACACAGCTAGTTAGGGTTCACCGTGGGATGGGTCTCTGGGCCGCCCCACAACAGGCAGGGGGATCAGGGTTCTCACGGGTGAGGAAGGCAAGGCCTGGGGTGAAATCAGCCCCACTCAGGGCTCGCGCAGCAAGGATGCAGAGGGCCTGGTGTTGGAATCACGGTCGAGGCCTAAGGAGGAGCCCATGGACTTACCTGGTCCCCTCCCTGGCCTTAACTCCTCCTCTGGGGCCTCGGCTTCATTCTGAGCATCCTGAATGTGTGCCCACCTTGGGACACACACAGCCCCTCCCTGCCCTCAGGGGCTCCCGGGCCAGTAGCCAAGACACTTGCCTTGCACCAAATAATCACACAGTGACCGTGTTACTGTTGGGAGAACGCCTACTCGGGAGAGGTCCAGGTTGCCGTGAGAGCTTGTAACAGGAGGGCCCAGCTCGCCTGGAGTGATGAGGACTGTCTCTAAAGGCTAGTGTCTAGACCAAGGGGGGTGAAGAGAAGGGCAGCGCTCCCAGAGGAAGGCTGCATGGCCAAAGCCCCAGGGAGCACTGCATGGGGGAGGCAGGAAGCTTTTCTGCCAGGCCCCAGCCAAGAGCCCGCTGGGTACCCCCTCCCCAGGGAGCCAGGTGTGGCCCCAGCCCCGCAGGTTTCAGGAAAGCCGCACTCTGCCCCTTGTCCGAGGCCATTTCTTTGTTTTCAGACCTATTGTGGTGTTCTTTTCCTTCTTGTGGAGTTTTCAACTCAGTGGGTTGAAAACTGAGTTCACGGCCACTCCAGGCACTCCATCCTAAAGGAAATCAGTCTTGAGTGTTCATTGGAAGGACTGATGTTGAAGCTGAAACTCCAGTACTCTGGCCACCTGACGCAAAGAGCTGACTCATTTGGAAAGACTCTGATGCTGGGAAAGATTGAAGGCAGGAGGAGAAGGGGATGACAGAAGAAGAGATGGTTGGATGGCATCACTGACTCAATGGAGATAAGTTTGAGTAGACTCCAGGAGTTGGTGATGGACAGGGAGTGCTGTGGTCCATGGGGTTGCGAAGTCAGACACGACCAAGTGACTGAACTGAACTCCAGGCACTGTGGAATGACCCCTGGTTGAGAACCACTGGCCTTGACAATGCCAGTGACTTGGGGAGCTCCTGGGTATGGGGGAGCTGGGTCTAGACACAAGTGGGAGGGAAAAATAGTAGGCTAAGGAAATGGAGGATGAGATGGTTGGATGGCATCACTGACAATGAACATGAGTTTGCATAAACTCCAGGAGTTGGTGATGATGGACAGGAAAGCCTGGTGTGGTGCAGTCCATGGGGTCATAAAGAGTCGGACATGACTCAGCAACTGAACTAAACTGAGCTGAAGGAGATGGAGACGCTAGAAAGGGCAGGATGTTCAAGAAAAAGGCCTGAGGAGATGAACACTGTTCAAGGACTTATGAAGCTCTCGGAGGAAGTCTGTTTGAAAGCTGGGGATGAACCACAGGGGGCCTTGCACCTGTGTCCTAAGAAGCCAGGGTGTCCTTGATGCTGGGGCATCATGGTAGCTCTGAGCAGGGGGAGCAGGGTCGGGTGTGTGCTTTAACAAGATCCCTCTGTGTGTGAAGCTGCTTGGAGAGGATGAAGCTGGGGCAGGAGGCCAAGGAGGAGGGTAGGGCTTGGGAAGCAGAGGGTGAGGCAAGCCAAGGAGATGGAAGGTGGGAGAGGAGTTCAGGGTCTCGAAGCCCTCAGTCTAAATCATGACGAGAGACTCTTGAGTTGAAGTCCCTTTGTGACGCCTGATGATCACTTTTCTCTCTGTGTGCCCGAGACTCCCCTTCCCTTGGGACAGTGGCTGCTCTTGTCCAGAGGTGTGCTGGTCATTTAACAACCAGCTGGTGGAGGAGGGCCCAGGAGGTGGATCAGTGTCCCCCACTCCCGGGGAGAAGCCAGCTCCAGCCTGCCCTGACCGCAGCCGCTCCCAGGACACCTCCTGGACCCTGGCCAGCAGCCCTCCACCCCCCACACCCCCCAGTGGCAGCCCCTGGGGGGGTGTGGGGGCGTGCCTTAAGATGTGAGCAGGTCCCATCCTGTCCTCCCGGCCTGTCCCGCTCCCTCAGGCCAGTCCCCACTTGGTGCCTCTGATCTCTGTCCAGGGAAGCATCGTCAAGTCTCGGGTTCACACTTCATACTCCTGTCCCTGAGGCTTGTCCCACCCCCAGCTCCGCGCTCTCCCTGTCCTTGCCTGTCCCCACCTCCTTCCCTCCTGCCCCATCCCCTCCTTCCCCATCCTGGCTGGGTGTCCATCTCTGAGCTTACCTCACTGGTCCTCACCTGCTCCGTCCTTCAGGTGGGGCATCTTCAGGTCCCACCATCCGCCTCCATTTCTGATCGCTCCCCCGTCTCTACAGACGTGACTCTTGCTTTCCGGTTCTCCGTCATCACTCCCTCTGCGGCCCCCACTGCCTCTCTTCCTCCCTGGCCCTTCCCCTCCGCAGTGATCACCGCCGTGGTGTCCACCCTCCTGGGCTCTCAAAGACAGACAGTCTCAGTCCTTGGGCTCCAGGAATTCAGCCCGGCGGTGGAGTGTGCAGTTAGCAAACACTGAGGGGCCCTCAGAGCCTTCCTTCCTGCCGAGGGGCCTGTGTCCATGACAGCCGGGCCCTGGCTGTGTGCTGAGCACACCCTGGGCACGCCGCACCTGCGTCCAGCACTCTGCCCTTCCTCACAGCCTCAGGAGGTGTCCTGTTCACAGTGGCCCTTAGTTGCCCCAGCAGCACGTGCCGGGGCTGGGATTTGAACCCAGGCCGTCTGACCCCCCGAAGTGTGCTCTCACCGCCATGGCGGCAGCGTGGCTCAAAGCCTGGGCTCAGGAGATGGGGAGGCCTGGATTCCACCCCTGACGTGTCCTGTGACCACGTGGGAGCGACGTGACTCCTCAGCCCCTGCAGCCTCCTGTTTAGGGAGGTGAATGCAGAGTTGATGAGGTCCCAGGGGGCTTGGGGGGCTGACCTCAGAGCCCTGTGAACGGCTCCCCAAGGAGCCGGGAGTCCAGTCTGGTGCCCTGACCAGGTGGAAACTAACCACCAAGCTCAGAAGTCATCACTGTACCTCTCGCCTGCAGGAATCCTCGTGGCCCACTACCTCCAGAGCATCACGCCGTGTCTGGCCCTGGGTGGAGAACTGGTCTACCACCGGCGCCCTGGGGAGGAGGGCACTGTTATGTCACTAGCTGGGAAGTATACATGTGAGCCTGGGGGCCTGGGGTCCTGGGACTGAGGGAGGAGGGGCTGGGGGCTGGACTCCTGGGTCTGAGGGGAGAGGGGGAAAACCTGGGCCCCTGGTTGCCCAGACCCCCTTGGTAACCTCCCTGCCCTCTTCCAGTGAACAACTGGTTGGCGACAGTAACACTGGGTCAGGCGGGCATGCATGCAACGTACTACCACAAAGCCAGTGACCAGGTGAGCCCGTCTGGGGACTGGCTGGCTGGGTATGGGGTGCCCAGGACTGGCGTGCCTGAGAGTCTGGCCTCGGAGGCTGACTCGTGTGTGTTGCCCTGGCCCCTCCAGCTGCAGGTGGGTGTGGAGTTCGAGGCCAGCACAAGGATGCAGGACACAAGTGTCTCCTTCGGGTACCAGCTGGACCTGCCCAAGGCCAACCTCCTCTTCAAAGGTACAGACCTCCCTTTGCTTACGTGAGAAACAAGAGGTGACTGGGCTCTGCGTGGGGTACAGGCCAGAGGAAATGGGAGAGGGCAGCATGCTAGGCCCCAAATTACCCAGGAATGCTTGTTAAGACGGTGGGTGGGTGCCTGGGCCCCGAGCTTTGCAGGGACCATCCCCACCCCAGCCAGCAGCCCTCTAGCAGTCTGCACGCATGGCCTTTGCTTTTCTTTTTCTCATGCGTCGAAGGCACGTTGGAGTGCAGCTGGCCTTGCCCCTCTGTCTCACCTTAGGGAGGCTGCCCGGTCACAGCCAGACCCACAGCCTTCGCCCAGGATGACTGACTGTCATCTTAAGTTCCTCCTTGCGCTTCAGTGGCTCTCAGGTTTGGGGTGTGGAGACCACCCCGGAAAGGCCACTTCAGCAGCCCTGGTTCAAGGCTTCTGAAAGCAGCCAGGGGAAGTCCCTGGTGGTCCAGTGGTCTCACTCTGAACTGCTGAGGGCCTGGGTTCGATCCCTGGTCAGGGAACTAAAATCCCACAAGCCATGCAGTGTGGCCAAAAAAATTTTAAAAACAAAAGTAGCCAGGAGGCCCAGGGAGAGGGGTTTGTTTCGCCTCTGAAACCCACTTTAAGCTCTCCCTCTGCAATGAGCCCCGGGCCTGAGGCTGCATTTGGGCTGCAGCTTGCCTGCTTCCCTTCAGTGAATCCTAGAGATTTCAGTCTGATTCAGCAGATACTCAGCACCTGCCCTGGCCCAGCTGGGGACACAGCAGTGACCAGCCCCTCCCCCACCCAGGGCTCACTGTGGCAGGGACAGGCCCATTCAGAGAGAGCAGCGCCTGGTGTGGACAAGACTGGGATTGGGAGGGTGGTCCATGGGGTGGCCGAGGGCTTCCAGAGGGGATGGGTCGCAGAGCTCGGAGCTGAAGTGCTTGGGGGCGTGAAGAGGGGTCCGAGTGGTGGGGACAGCACAGTCAGCGGCCTGGCCGGTGTTATCTGATGTGTCGGGTGAGGCTCTTCACACAGCTGTCCACCCACAGGCTCTGTGGACAGCAACTGGATCGTGGGCGCCACGCTGGAAAAGAAGCTCCCGCCGCTGCCTCTGACGCTGGCCCTCGGGGCCTTCCTGAATCACCGAAAGAACAAGTTCCAGTGCGGCTTCGGCCTCACCATTGGCTGAGCCCCCGCAGGCCCTGCCTTCCTCGCCCTTTCTCCTTCTGATCCCACCTCCCCCTCCCCCTGCCACGGAGGGGAGACCTGAGCCCCCCTCCCCCTCCCTTCCCTCCCTCCTCGGGGGTCAGGGGGCAGCGGAAAGGAGGGGACCCAGCACCCCAGCAGCTGAGGGGGGATTCTCCGAAGGACGGGCACAGCAGGATGTGGAGGACAAGGGGCCGCATGCCCAGTGGGCTTGGGGTCCACGAAGCGATTCTGGAGTCGAGGGGCCTACGGGATTCTGAGCACCAGGGGCAGAGGCGGTCAGACAACCTCAGGGAGGTGTTGGGGTGTCCCCGTCCCCCGAAATGGCCAAATGGGCCCAGCCCCAAGGGGGCAGCAAGGAGAGGTGCGTCCCCAGTCACCCCGCCCATGCCCGCTTTCCCATCCACCCCCTGGTATAAATCATGTTTATAAGTTATGGAAGAACCGGGACATTTTACAAAAAAAAATAAAAAATAACAAAAAATATACATAGAAAAAAAAAGAAATGGGAGGCCTCTGTTTTCCTCTGTGCCTGTGGCTCATTTGGTCCGGCCCTGACCTCCCGCAGTGGCCCATAGGGGGCAAGGGAATCCAGCCTGGTCACTGGCCAGAGCCCAGACCAGAGGGGAAGGGCCTGGCCCAGGATCACACAGCTGCCCGACGAGGACATCACAGGCCTCCCCTCCCAGCCAGCCTGGCCTGGCCAGCGAGGCTGCAGAAGACTCCCCGTGAACTGAAGCGGGTGTGGGGAGGCAGCGAGCTGGGACTGGGGTCTTTCCAGGTTCCAAAAGGGGCAGGGGATGAAGGGGTGTTAAGACTTGATTATAATAGAAGGTCAAAGCTTTCAAGAAACTTCAAGGTGCATTTGACCACCTGGAAAGAGTTTGGAATCATTTACTTCTGAAGTGGGGGAGGAGTGGGCTGGAGTCTGACTCATGGGCAGGGAGAGAGGGTGGGGGCGTCAGTTCTGCACACCTAGGGCTCAGGCAAGCTGACATCGCTTGCCCCTCTCCAGACAGGGGAACTGAAAGTTCATCTCACACAGTGTCTGGGCAGGGAGGCTGCTGGCCCGTGATGACCCCTTATAGCCCAAAGAAGCCACTCCACCCACTCCCTGCCAGCGCCTTCTGAGGCCAGAGCAGACAGGCTGACTGCAACCCAGGATGGACTGGTATTGGGGCTCCCTTCCTGGGACCAGGCATCCAGCCTCTCCTGCCCCAGGGAATCCAGTAGTCCTCACCTTAAAGGACCAGGAATGAATCCCAGCCCCTCCAGTTCTTCCAGGGTGACTTTACTGTCCACCTCAACTCTGAATCTCCTCTTGAAAGAGGAAAGTGGGCAAAGCGGACTCCATCTTGGCTGCGGGACTCCCATTTTAGACTGATTGTGAACTTTGGACTACATGCCTGGGTGTTCTCCCAGTGGACTTTGAGCTATGTGCCCGGTATCTATGGAAACAACATACTAACTGAAAAACAGACCCCCAGGATAAAAGGACTCCAGGACTTCTACCTAGACTTCCCATCACCGAAAAGAATGTACTAATCTACCCCAGAGCAAAACAAATTATCTCCACAATACCTACTGATATATGTTAGCCTAATTAGCTGTCTGGACTAATATATGAATCATGGTTTAGCCCGTTTACATTATCCAGGCTAGTTTCGAGGAATTTGGGGATGTAGGCTTGAACATGTACACTTATGGTATATAAGGTTGTCACAAAAACTGGCCAGGTCCTTGGCTAAGAGGAGACTCTGCTTTGGGCCCGCCAGTATAATAAACTGCACTCCACTATTTGCGTTGTCCTTCTGAGTGAGTTTGCTTCCCGGAGAGCATGGCTTCAACATTTTTGGTGCATTGGTCTGGAAGCTCCTCACTCCGAGGAGACAAGTCCCATTTGGGGCTCCTCAAATTCTAGGTGATTCAAGCAGGGGCCTTGTGGCTTGACTTACCTAGAGGGGCAGGATGCCTCACCCCTCTGGAACGATTCTGCCTTTCAACGCCCAGACCTCTCACGTTAGCAAGTAGTGGACGGCAGTGAGGGAACTGAGCGCTCAGGTAAGGAGGGTCCCACCCAGTAGGGTGGGAGAGGGGCCCTGATGAACCCCCTAGGAGGGATTAGAGAAGTGCACGGACCTAATGGTGACTGATGTATGAGAGTGACTGCGATCGTCAGGTACAGGTTGACGGACATGACAGGGCTTTAAGGAAGGCTCTATTGTGAATGTCATTTAGGAGGTGGTGTCTCGGGAAAAATTATTAGCAGGCAATTGCAAGAGGGTTACTGGGGGAGGAAACTTGGTCTCTGTGTACACCTATTTGCCCTCCCCCAAGAGGTGTCCCATCTGCTGTGAAAGTCTCAATCCCCTCAAGCTTGTTAAGGTAGAGAAAGGGAAATACATTAGTGAGTACAAATTGGCTTTTCCGGAGGTAGCCTGGGATGTGGGTTATTTAACTCACCTGTGCTTTTGTCCACACCTGATCAAGCTCACCAAGGCAGAGAAGGCATTTAAAGTTTGGGGAGAAGTGGTCCTAGACAAAGTGATATTCTGGTTCAAGCGCATAAAACAGGAGAAAGCACTCCGGACTCCCCCTATCCCTCGGGGACTTGGCAGGTAAAGCCCTTTTCAATCCTATCAGGGAGGAAGCTGAGTGGCAATTCAAGTGCTTCATCAAGTGCAAATATCAGAAGTATTTGGGGTACCGGAAACTCCACCAGCAGGAGAAGGAACACTCCCGGAAAGGTAGGCAAAATGGAAGGAAACGGATCTAAGGCAACTAACTATCCTGGACAATATGATCAAAAGTTTCAAAAAGGGGTTCAGAGGAGACTATGGAGTAAAAATGACACCTGGCCGGCTGCGCACCCTCTGCAAGGTTGAATGGCCTGCTTGTGGGAGTTGGCTGGCCACCAGAGGGCACAATGGACTTGAAGATAATAAAAGCAGTCTCTGCGATAGTCACAGGAAAACCTGGGCACCCAGACCAGTTCCCATACATAGACTCCTGGCTAGAGCTGACCCAAGATCCCCCACCATGGGCATGACTTTATATTCAAAATGGAGAAGGAAAAAGGCACAGAAACTAACTGATGATAAAAAAGAGATTCTACAGGATCCAAATGAGGAACTTCCTCGCGCACTGTACTGGATGATGAACCCGCCCTCAAATGTGTCGGCCAGGGGCCTTAACAGCCACCAGGCCGAGGCCACAGGACATTCAAGCACCACCCCTGTCCCCGGCCCTTCCTTCAGCCCCCCAGAGGTCATAGAGCTGCCGCCCCAGCAGGCTCCAACCCCAGCGGGAGGGACCCCTGGATACTGCCCTCCGGATTCAACCCTTGCCACAGAGGCACGACATAGGCTCTACCCGCCGCCCCCGCCCCCGGTGAGTCCCGTTGAAACAGGGGAGGGGAACACTGGAATTAAACAAAGACTGTGCTCCGCTAAGGAGTTAGAAGAAAAGACGCCATTTCAGAAATCCCTTAGGGAAGTCCGGCAGGCCCCCATACAGGGGAAAGACAGTAATTATCACCAGGCTCCCATGGCCGACTACTATCAGTTATTTTCATCTACTGATTTGTTGAACTGGCAAAAATATATGCCACCATATTCAGAGGAGCCACAGGGCATGATTAGACTGATGGAAACCATTTTTTGTACCCACCAACCAACATGGGATGATATTACCCAATTATTAACTTCCCTCTTCAGTATCGAACAGCGGTACAGAATTCTTACTGAAGCAAAGAAATGGCTGCTAGAAATGGTTCCAGAAGGGATTGTAAACCCACAGAGGTGGGTGGAACAAACCCTTCCCAATGATAGACCTAATTGGGACTATAATACAGATGAGGGGCGAAACCAATTACACAGATACCGTACAGCCATTCTACAGGGAGTAAAAAGGGAGCCCGCAGACCTATGGATATGGCAAAACCTGCCGTAGTACTACAACAAGGGGCTGAGCCCCCTTCTGGATTTTATGAAATACTGTGTGAGGCTTATAGACTCTATACGCCGATCAACACCGAGGCCGGGGCTCCCACATCTTTGTAAACTCAGCATTTGTGTCACAGGCTTATCCTGATATTAAAAGAAAGCTCCAGAAGCTGGATGGAGTATTATCAATGTCCAGCTCCCAACTAATTGAAATTGCAAAGTATTCAGAAATAGAGATACGGAAACCAAGAAAGAAACTGAAAAAAGATGGAGGGAGGACAATAAGAGAGCAGACCAGAGATTTGCAATGCTAGCCGCGGCCTTGGGAAAGCCTGTTGGGCTGCCCATGAAAGCCCCTCCCTCCTGGAGAGGAGACCAATCTCTCAGGAGACCCCCATGAAGGCCTAGACCCACATTACAACCCAATCAGTGTGCCCAGTGCCGAGGGTTTGGCCACCGGAAAAACGAATGTCCTAAAACCGCTAAAAACCGGGAATCAACCAGTACAGTGGTAGGCCTTGACGGCCTACAGACCAAACAGGGATGCCGGGGCTCAGAGACACAGGTCCACAAGAGCCCATGGTGACATTGAAAGTAGGGGGACCGTCTTATTGACTTCATGGTGGATACTGGAGCAGGATTGTCAGTAGTAACTGAGCCCGTGGCACCGCTCTCAAAAAAGCCACTGCCATAATTGGGATATCTGGAAAGGAAATGATTAAACAATTCTGTAAGCCCCGAAAGTGCCAAATGGCTGGGGGGGGGCGCACCAATGACTCATGAGTTCTTATATATCCTTGAATGCCCAGTACCTCTACTGGGAAGAGATCTACTCTCTAAACTGGGGGCACAAGTGACCTTTTCCCCCCACGAATGCCCCACTTTGCACATGGGCCCAGCTACTTACTTACTCTCCCTCTCAGTTACCCCACAAGACGAATGGAGGTTACATGAATATACTGAGAAGAGACTAGAGGGGATGAACAGCCAGGAGGAAACACTGGCTCAACAATTTCCCAAGGTCTGGGCGGAAGGAAACCCCCCTGGGCTCGCCAAACACCACGCTCCAGTGATAATACAATTTAAGCCCAGTGCCACCTGGGTTAGAAAACACCAGTATCCACTGCCCCTGGAGGCTTGTCTCGGCATACTGCCACATATAAACAGGCTGAAACAGGCCAGCATCCTGATTAATGCCCATCAGAATGGAATACACCAATCCTGCCAGTTAAAAAGGAAGGGAGACAGGACTATAGGCCAATACAAGATTTAAGGCTGGTCAGCCAAGCTGCCGTGACCCTGTACCCCAGAGTCCCAAGCCGATATACCTTACTCAGCCTCCTCCCTCCAAGTGCAAAAGTTCTATACTTGTCTGGACTTAAAAGATGCCTTTTTCTGTATATGCCTAGCCCAGGTATCACAACCAATTTTTGCCCCCAACAGGGGGCGCCAAACAGCAACTAACCTGGACTCACCTCCCCCAAGGGTTTAAAAATTCTCCAACCATTTTTGAAGAAGCCCTGGCTTCGGACTTAGGCGCACTTCAGCCAGAAAAGTTTGGCTGTTGGCTGCTGCAATATGTGGACGATCTGCTCCTGGCCGCTGAGAATGAGGATGATTGCTGGGAAGGAACCAAGGCCTCGCTGGGACTGCTGATGGAGGCTGGTTACCGGGTCTCGAAAAAGAAGGCTCAGATCTGCAAGGAGGAGGTGAGGTATTTGGGATCTGTTCTAAAGGGGGGCACAAGGCTGTTGGGCCAGTCCAGTGCCATGGCCTCTATCTGTGATGGACGGGCTCCCATGGTAGGTATCACCTCTACGGAGGGGTGATATGCCTAGCTTATGGGGTTTTTTGCATCAGGCAAGACAACAAAAATCAAGTATAGAATGGCTTTAGACATACTCACTGCCGCACAGAGAGGAACCTGTGCCATACTTATGGCTGAAAGTTGTGTATACATTCTGGATCTATCTGGCAATGTAACGGCTGCTTTGGGTGACATGAGGGACCAAGTAAAAGCAAAGTCAGATGAAAATATTCCCTTCTGGACCTCATCCTATCTTGAGTAAAGGGTGATTGGTGGAAAACTGTGTTTACTGTTATTATAGTCATTTTAATCGTTCTGTTATGTGGACCTTGCATTTTACAATGTGTTGTTAACTTTGTATCCCAGAGACTATCCTCACTTTCCCAGATCAGCGTTAGGAGGCCTAGGGTACAATATATTCCTATGAGTGATGCTCCCACTGAGAGTTAGGAGCATCAAGAGGGACAAATGAAAGTGGAAAGTGGGCAAAGCGGACTCCATCTTGGCTGCGGGACTCCATTTTAGACTTATTGTAAACTCTGGACTGCATGCCTGAGTGTTCTCCCAGTGGACTTTGAGCTATGTGCCCAGAATCTATAGAAACAACATACCAACTGAAAAACAGACCCCCCGGATAAAAGGACTCCAGGACTTGTACCTGGACTTTCTGTCGTCGAAAAGAATATACTAATCTACCCCAGAGCAAAACAAATTTTTATCTCCACAAAAACTGTTGATATATGTTAGCCTAATTAGCTGTCTGGACTAATGATATATGAATCATGGTTTAGCCCCTTTACATTATCCAGGCTAGTTTCCAGGAATTCGGGGAGGAGGGTTTGAGCACGTACACTTATGGTATATAAGGTTGTCACAAAAACTGGCCGGGTCCTTGGCTAAGAGGAGACTCTGCCTTGGGCCCACTGGTGTAATAAATTGCACTCCACTATTTGCGTTGTCCTTCTGAATGAGTTTGCTTCCCGGAGAGCAGAGAGCGTGGCTACAACACCCTCAATTAAGGATGCCCATCTTTGAAACAGCTGGGGTTCCTGAACAGGGCTGCAAGGGAGGGAGGGACAGGAGTGTTCACTGTGGCCCGGCACAGAAGTGAAGTCCAACACAGGGCCACTGTTCGCCAGCTAACCCTACTTATTCTCGGTACACACATAGCCTGTTGCTTCACCGAATTACGGTGTTAACTGAAATCGCTCAGTCATGTCCCACTCTTTGCGATGGTGTTAAGTGCAACTCTTTTCCCGGTTTTGTGGACCAAGAAACTGGATGTTCAGAGAGGCTAGGTTGTTGGCTCAAGGTCACACAGCTGACAACTGGCAGAGCCTGGATTCAAGCCTGATTAGTTTGGTTCTGGAATCCACAGTCCTAAGCAGGCAACACCCATGCTTCAAGCCCAGAGAAAGGAACAATACACAGTTGGGGAGAAATGCTGGATTTTCAGGTCTCAACTGGGGAAGGGGCCTCAAGAGAGGCACTCTCCTGTGCCCAAGGTAACAGCCCAAGAGGGAGCTCATGTTTAAGTCCAGATTGCACTCTCAAAGCCTGGGCCTTTAGCAGATACCTTACACTGTTCCCAGAACTACTATCCCATTTCTATCTGGGCCGGCTAGCTCCTTTCCCCCTCCCTACCCAGAGGCCCAACCCCCTCCTTCCTCTAACCAGGGATTTCAGGCCCCCAGTCCTTTCCCCAAATTCTATTCATCCATCTGCTGGAAAAGAGAGGGGCAGGGGATGGGTACTGTGGGCAGTGGCCTGCCCCAGCCCTCACCAGCTCACCCACCCACCAGAATGGAGGAAGCCGCCTGAGTTACTGGGTGAGATGTCATCTTTTCACCGGGGCTGGGAGTGGGGGCTGCCAGGCCTCCAAGCCCCCCCCCACCCCCACCCCTCCTGGCTGTGCATGAAGGGGGAGGAGGGCCCACCTCGTGACCTGAGGGGGCTGGCCCAGCTTGCCCCAGCTCTGGAGGAGTGGGCGGGCCAGGGGGGAGTCCTATAATTGGACGAATCTGGGATCCGTGAGTCCCTGCTCAACCCCGGAGGCGAAGGACGCGGTTTCCGGAGGCGAAGAACGCGGTGAGAGGCAGAGCTGGGGGCACGGAGACTCAGAGCCTCTGTGGGGGACGGGCGGCGGGAGTGGTGAACGAGGTGACGGGTCCGACGCCGCCCGGGCCAGGACAGAAGCCGGAGCAGAGGCGGAGGCCAGAGGCAGGGAACCGGACCTAGAAGGGTGGGGAGCAGGCGCATCCCGTTGGGGCTGGAAGGTGGGTTCTGGGGAGCAGCTGGACCTGCAGGAAAAACCAGACGAGACATGGCCAGGACCCACTAACTGTTACCGTCCTTTATTGAGCACCTACTGGGAGCCCACAATCATCCTAAGCTCTCCGTTAAGGGGAGGCTCCGGGGCGGCGGCAAGGTAGCTAAAGCGTGGGTTGGAGGACTTTTTAAATGAGGATTAGATTAGTGAATACGTGGAAGACAGCGTTTAGATGTGAAGTTGGAGCTGAGAATGGGAAGGTACGGTGAGGAATGGGAAGATACGGTGAAGAATGGGAAGATACGGTGAGGAATGCTAGCTAGGTTGGAACTTTAGAGGCTTTCTGGGAACTCCGGGATGGAGGGGAGGGCCGGGTGAGTGGAATCTGAACCCTGGGAGAGGGATGGAATTTAGGCGGCGGCAGACCTGGGGATGGGGAGATAAGAGAAGACAATGAGGGAATGAACTAGACAATGAAGGGGCCGCTGGGTAAATATTTGGAATTGGACTAGGATTTGGTGGGATGCGAGGCTTTGAAGGTTAAGACCGGATGGGGCAGGGCTCTGAGGGGGAGGGCCCCCCCTCCCCGGGGTTGAGTGACAGTTTCTCCCTCCTTCAGGTTGGCCAATCGCAAGCCAGAAGATGAAGATTCTGTGGGTTGCCGTGGTGGTCGCGCTCCTGGCAGGTATGGGCGCGGGGCTTGCCCAGGTTATTTGCCCTACCGCCTCCCATCCTCAGCTTGCCCTCCTCCCGTCCGTGGGTCCTCCCTTCTGCTGGTCTATCTCCCCAGGTCTGAGGTCTCTCTGACGTCCCTTGGTTCTGAGCTGCAGTTTTACTTTCTCTGAGCCTCAGTTTCCCCATCCTTAAAATGAGAGTTTCTCGTGCACTGCTGTCAGGCAGGTAGTAAGGAGCAGCTAAGTGTCAGCGGTGATTATTCTCTATCTGGGGCTATTTTATTCTCTATCACCCCAGCATGGCGGTGCGGACCACACACAATCCATGCTTGTCAAGTGATTAAACAGGCTGGGCGTCTCTCCACCCCCTCCCCACCCCCCAGTGCTCTGAAGAAGCCCACCAGCCTCTGTGGAGCACCTCCTCTGTACTGGGTACTGTGTGCCTGGAGAGGGCGGAGGACCCTGACCGCCGTGAACTTGCTGTGTGCAGGATGCCAGGCGGATATGGAGGGAGAGCTGGGGCCCGAGGAGCCCCGGACTCCGGAGCAGCCCCGGGGGCAGGACAGCCAGCCTTGGGAGCAGGCGCTGGGCCGCTTCTGGGATTACCTGCGCTGGGTGCAGACCCTGTCTGACCAGGTGCAGGAGGAACTGCTCAACACCCAGGTCATTCAGGAACTGACGTGAGTGCCTCCACCCTGGTCCCTGATCCCTCCGGTGGGCAGTGTGTTCGGGACCCCAGTCTCCTCTGATCTGGGTTTCTTTACCTCCCCATCACCAACACTTGGGGGGGGGGGGGCGGGATGTCTAGCCTCTGCTCATTTCTTGCTTTCTTTTCTCCTTGAGCTCCTGGCTTTCCCTCTCTCTGATCCTGTTCTTCAGTCTTTCCTGTCTGGCACCTTCCTCTTCATCTCCCTCCATCACCCTAGCTCAGGATCCCTACCTCTTCTTTCCATTCGCGCCCTCTCGGCCCCCAGGGCGCTGATGGAGGAGACCATGAAGGAGGTGAAGGCCTACAGGGAGGAGCTGGAGGGACAACTGGGCCCCATGGCCCAGGAGACACAGGCCCGCGTGTCCAAGGAGCTGCAGGCAGCCCAGGCCCGGCTGGGCTCTGACATGGAGGACTTGCGGAACCGCCTGGCGCAGTACCGAAGCGAGGTGCAGGCTATGCTGGGCCAGACCACCGAGGAGCTGCGGGCCCGCATGGCCTCCCACCTGCGCAAGCTGCGCAAGCGGCTGCTCCGTGACGCCGACGACCTGAAGAAGCGCCTGGCCGTCTACCAAGCGGGGGCCAGCGAAGGCGCCGAGCGCAGCGTGAGCGCCATCCGCGAGCGCCTCGGGCCCCTGGTGGAGCAGGGCCAATCGCGGGCCGCCACCCTGAGCACCCTGGCCGGCCAGCCACTGCTGGAGCGCGCCGAGGCCTGGCGCCAGAAGCTGCACGGGCGCCTGGAGGAGGTGGGCGTCCGGGCCCAGGACCGCCTGGACAAGATGCGCCAGCAGCTAGAGGAGGTGCGCACCAAGGTCGAGGAGCAGGGCAACCAGATGCGCCTGCAGGCCGAGGCCTTCCAGGCCCGCCTCAGGAGCTGGTTCGAGCCCCTGGTGGAAGACATGCAGCGCCAGTGGGCCGGGCTGGTGGAGAAGGTGCAGTTGGCTCTGCGCCCCAGCCCCACCTCTCCGCCCAGCGAGAATCATTGAGCGCCCGGGCATCGCCCTGGGGGGCCCCCCAACTCCCACCCCGAGCCTCCTGTGCCCCCAGCCTGCAGGAGGCCCTGCTCCTGCCCCAGTTGTCCTCTTGGTGGGCCCTAGCTTAATAAAGATTGATCAAGCTTCATGGCAGCCGCTGGGCATCAGTGTATGATTTGTCACAGCTCAAGCCTCAGTTTCACATCTTTTTCCCTTGCTGACTACACAGCATCTTGCCTCTGAACCTGTGTTTGTCCGTTTTCTTAGTGTCTGTTTCCTTCTGTCCCCTTTTAGAATTTCCCGGTTACTCAGTGGTAAATCATTCGTCTGCAACGCAGAAGACTCAATAAGACATAGGTTTGATTCCTGGGTGGGGAAGATCCCCTGGAGAAGGGAATACAACCCACTCCAGTATTCTTACCTGGAGAGCCCCATAGACAGAGGAGCCTGGCGCGGGCTATGGTCCATAGGAAGTGACTTAGCACTCACACAAGTCCCCTTTTAAGTCTTTCCCTTTTTCCTCCATCTCTATTCACAACTGCTCACTCTCTTCCTTGACTCTCATCGATTTGTCTCTGAGACAAGGTTCTGGAACAAATCCACCAGTGGGTTAAACCCTTCAGTTGCCCCTGACTACTCTGGGCAAAAAAAACAACCTCACTGAGCCTCATTTGGCCTGGTTTCACAATATCTGCCTCATGACTCAAAAGACTTCAGACCACTGCTGTGAATACTGAGCCATTTTCTGGACTTGCCTGGTGGTCCAGTAGTAAAGAATCCGCCTCCCAATGTAGGGGACACGGGTTCCATCCCTGGTTGGGCAGCTAAGATCCCACATGTGGGGCGACTGAGCCTGCGTGCTCCGGAGCTCTTCTGCCAGAACAAAGCCCCAGTGTAGCTAAAAATGAAAATTTTTTTTTAATTGAGCCATTTTCAGTTTTTTTTTTTCCCCCACTCTTATTCTCCCGCCTGCCTTACCTGATTCTACCTCCTTCCCGCCTCTGTCTCCATGCTGTTCTTCCTGAGATGTTTTGTTTTTCTGTCTTCCACTTTACCTCCATCTTTTCTCTCTCCCTCTGGTTTCTCTTGCCTGTGTGTGTGCGCGCGTGTATGTGCTCAGTTGTGTCTGACTCTTTGTGACTCCATGGGCTGTAGCCCGCCAGCCTCCTCTGTCCATGGAATTTTCCAGGCAAGAACATTGGAGTGGGTTGTCATTTCCTCCTCCCGGGGATCTTCCCTACTTAGGAATCAAACCTGCGACTCTTGTTTTTCCCGCATTGACAGGCAGATTCTGTACCACTGCGCCGCCTGGGAAGCCCTCTCTTGCCTCTGGTGTGGCTTATTTCTTTTTTCCCTTCATCTGGGTTTGCCCTCGCCACCATTTTGTGGCACATGGACCCTCTGCCTTTCACCCCTTCCTCTTGTTCCTTCTCTCCTCCAAGTGGGTGGTTGGTTTCTTATCTGCCCTGAGAAGCCTACTGGGTGCTGGGTGCAGACTGCAGAGAGAGGCACACAGGGTCTGCAACAGGCCCCTGCTGTTCAGGGCTGGAGGAGCCGGTTGGAAATCGACACTCAGAGAAGCTTAGCTGGAGCCTGGAGGTGCCAACTGTCCTCTCCCACGCCCTTCGTCCTCCAAGGAGGGGAATAGGGCTCCCCACCACAGGGGACAGGCCAGGACTTATATCTCCCAGGCTGACCTCTGCCTGCTATGGCTCCAACGCACTCTGCACTCCACTCCGAGTTTTCCCTGAAGTTGCCCTGTTTGTCCTGATGGAATCAAGCCCCTCCCCACCACCAGATGCTTCACCCTTGGGACTGAGTTGGGGGTGGGGGAGTTCTCTGGGGACTCAGAGGCACGGGGCCTGGTCCCACCCACATTTCCTGTTAACTCCGCTGACTCACTGTGTGTCCAGGGGCTGGGGCCGAGCCCCCTGAGCCTGTTTCCCCAGATGTCAGTGACAGCAGGGGCATCAGCCATATTGTCCACTTGAAGACCTGAATCTTGAATTCTCCCTAATGAAGCCAGCTAAGCAGAGAGGGTGTCCCGCCTCACCGCAGCATGCCCCCCCTGCCGCCCCCGGTTACTTTTGTGCAAGGAGGCTGACGGGGGGGTGCTGTGGGGGTGGAGGCTGACCCCAGCAGGAATCCAGAGGGAAAGCCAGCAGTCCGGGAAGGGGAGGGAAAAGATGAGGGACAAAGACGGGAAGGACACTTAGCCTCTCAGTGAGCCACTGAATGTCCTTGGCTGCGCCTCAGTTGCCCCATGTATAAACAGAAACTCAGAGAGCTGAGGTGAGGATGAGGCAGGCAGACTGCAGTGGTCGTTTGGTTCTCGTGGGGTGGGGAGCAGGGGGCATTTGGGTGGACATGTGGGGAGCACTGGGGGCTCAGAGAGGAAGCAGATGGGGCCCCCTGACAGGGATTGGCAGCACAGAGCTGGCTGGAGGGCTGTTGCAATCGTGCCACGGCAGTGTCTGTGCCTCGCTTTCACAACTACCCCCCTCTGCCCCAAGGCTGACACGTGGGTGTGGGGGCTCGAGGCCAGCCAACCTGGAGTCTGGGGCCAGGGCCACCCTCTCCCAGCTGCCAGGGTTCACTAGCAGTCAAAGACAGCTGGGCGGAAGAGGGGGGACGCCTTGGAAGGCAGCCCCGGGGGGATTGATGTGGTGGAAGGGAAGGGGGTGGTGCTTGGTGTTCTGAGCAGCCAAAAGGGTGCCTAAGGGCAGATGGAGTGTTTACAGGGGCTTGGAGGCTTGGACAGCAGGGGGAACAGAGAGAAGGGAGTTCCTGGTGGATCGCTTGGAGGGGCACATGTCAGGAGTCTTGGAGCTGAGGTTTTGTACCTTTGACAGGTTGAAAAGACCCCTCTTCAGAGAATTCCCTGGTGGACCAGAGGTTAGGACTCACTGCTTTCACTGCCATGGCCCTGGGTGCAATCCACAGTTGGGAACTAAGATCCTGCAACGCATGGCAAAAAATAAAGACCTCTCTCCAAAAAAATTGGGGGCCATGAAATTAAAATCCCAGAGGAGCATCCAGGGAAGTTTGGGGGAGTCTTCCAGATGCAAAAAGATGGGGGAAAAGGAAGGCTAGTCTGAAAGTGACATTGGATATGACAAAGGTGCAGGTGTGTGGCGGCAGACTGTAAGACCCCAGACTCCGGGAGGGAGAATCATTTTAGCTGAAGAGGCTGGCTAAGAAGGGAGAGGGGATAGTAGAGATGGCCTGAGGACACAGTGTGAATTGACTTAGTAAGTTGGGTTTGTTTGTCTTTTTAATAATTATTTATTTGGTCGTGCAGGGTCTTTTAGCTGCAGCATGTGGGATCTAGTTCCCTGACTAGCCCGCCTGCATTAGGAGCGCGGAGTCTTAGCCAGTGGACCACCAGGAAAGTCCTAAGTTAGTGAGTTATTGAGTTTTACTGAGAGAACCCACCCTCCGCCCCGGCCCACCCGAGGCTGGGAGAAGGGTATGAAGCAGGAGAGACCCCTGAGGGAAGATGATCACAGAGAGAGGGGGAAGTGTCCCCTGGGTTGGGAAGCGACTATAGCAGCTTGAGGTCCCCACCAGTCAGGGAAATTTGGAGGTGCAGGTGCTGAACAACAAAATGCTTTGGGCCTAAGGCTTCAGCCTGGTGCCCTACTTGATCCCACCACCACCAAGCAGGACTGGAAGTGGAGGAGGTGGGTGGGCACCAGGCGGCAGATGGTCAGGTGAGGGCTTAAGGGGAGGGAGACTAACCTGACCCCCAACCCCTACCCCTCCACACCCCCGGCATCAATAAGGCCCTGGGCCAGGACCAGGCCACGTCCTGTCGCCTGTGCTGTCCTCAGTGCCCAGAAAGGAAGCTTCAGAGTGCCCTTCCGGACCCACCCCACAACAAAGCTCATTCTATTGGTGCTATTGGTGGCTCTCTTCATGGTTTGGGGCAGTAAAAGTGGAATGGGACACTGAGAATTTGAGACTTGAAAGACCGAAGCTAGCACGGGCCTGGGGCACAGGCTTAGATGACCCTTGAGAGCTCTGGGGCCCATTCTGTGCCCTGGTTCTCATATTGTCCACGAAGCGCCCCCGCACCTCCACCGGCCCAGGGCGGGTCTCATGGCTCTCTAAAGGCTGGTCCAGTGGATGGCAATCTGCCCAGGGGAGCACTAGCAACCGATAACGTATCACTCTCGCTCCTTCGGGATTGGCTAGTTTGCTTTTGCCACGCCTGGAATGGGCGGGGAACCAGGCTAGTGTTGAGAGTAAGGCAATTACCAGCATCGTGATCCCGATCTGGTCGCTCTGGTACCCTCCGCTGCATTCTAACGCCATGACACCCAGAAACACATTCAAGGATCTCCTTTCCCATCCCTGGAATCTCATCCTAAAGGGCTCCCGTTATGGAAATGTTTGCACCCTTTCTCCTCTTCTGGGCACTGCCAGCCCCAGCCCAGGTGGCCCCAGGCCCTATCAGATTCCTTCCCATCATCAGAGGAGTACCGTGGTTTGGTCAAGTCGTGAAGACAACACAGCGAGTCGTTAGCACCGTCGAACACAGAGAAGTTCCTCTGAAGGCCACGTAAGGATCCTTCCCAGGGAAAGGGAGGACTGGGGTGAACGGATTCAGAGACTGGGAGGTGGCAAAGTCCCTGTGGTCACACAGTTGGTTCTCAGATCTCAGGGTGCTCAGACTTGGGGGACTGGTTCCCTGATGCCTATCCAGCCATACTGTAGAGATGGAGCTGGAGGATGGTGAAAAAACCCAAGCCTAAGGGGCAGGTGGACGTAGGTCCACAGGCTGGCAAAGACTCGCGGTGCCCTGTGTAATCATGAGCTTCAGTTTTCATGGGTTGACTCATCACCATGCAGGTGGTAGATCTTATTACATTTTGAATGGATAACGAAGAGGGATTTGAAAGAGGGCATGGGCTAGAAACCAGAAAAGACTGACACAATCCCCAGGCTCCACATCTCAGCTTTGATGTCCCTTCCTCCAGGAAGCCCTCCTTGATTCCCAGGTTGGGTCA